CGCATTGTTATGTTATTTGAATTATTTGTTGCCAAAGAAGCCGCACAACCATATAAACGAGGAGGTCCCTAACAGTTCAAGAGTAAAAGCCAACTTCACTTCAAGTATATTCCACTACATCTAACTTTCCGTAGATGAATAATGAGCACAGAGACAGTGACCGTCGATTTCGACGGGTTTCACCTAGTCTTATTTAATTTTGAGAATGTACACTTATTTTTATGTTTGCTTTAGTCAGCATGTTTTACTATTGTACTTATGACTGTCTTGTGCATTTCAAGCATCCATGACAAGATCTATTGCATGTAATTTTGCCTAAAGATCAATAAACGTCTTATGTCTTATGTCTTATATATATATATATATATATGTCCGTGAACACGATAACTTGAGTAATTTTTATCCGATTTTGATGAAATTTGGTTTGAAGGTGTAAGGTGGGATAAACTTGAATGAGTTCGCGATCCAGCATGATCGGACCATGGGAACAGGGTTTTATGGGGGGTTTTATGGGGTAAAAATTGGTTTTTCTCACTTCTTACCCTCAAAACACAAAATTTCCAAATTTTTCTCTAAACCTTCTTAAAGAGCTTAAAAAAACAAACAATTCAGTATATCAAAGTGTTTTTGTACGGTTATTGGTTACGAGAAAACTACAAAAAATGGTAAATTTAAAATTCCCATGATATTCTTAGGGAGAATATTGTAAAATGTTGTAGTTTGCTTGTTTATGGATATATTTTGATCAAACTTGGCAAATTTATTTATTTTATAGTAAGCTATCAATATTTTACTAAAAACACACTACTTTATTAGTTTCCTTGTAGCAGCAAACCTAGGTACTCGTTAAACCTAATGTTATTTAAATAGATCAATTGAAAATCAATTCGGCCAAATGGAAATTCGCTTAGACGGCAGGTTTGCTGCGGTGGGGGTATTTGTTACAATTAAGGTAATTCTTTGGAGACTAATTCTTTTCTACAAGAAGATGAAATGCATAAAAGCAAGCCTGACTTGTGGGTACATTCCTAAATCCTAGTGTCAAAGCATGATGGTCTTCATTCGCTAGAGGAAAAACAGATTTCTCTGAGGCCAAATCGTTCTGCCCCATCAGTCTTAAATCCAGTCTAAATCTTTCTATTAGAAAATAAAATGCATTAAATGGATGTAAGATCATAGTTTAGTATATCTATTTTAAGCTTTTGGCCAGAAAAGGTATTTTTTCAATTGACAAAATGTAATACTAATGATTGGTATGTTTGTTTCCGGTGGGGTGCGGGATTGAACGAGATCACAGCAGATATTAAACAATGGTAAGTACGCCCTCTGTCCCTTTCTTTTAGAGTACAGTAGAGGTTCTTAGCATTATATGCATGTATTAATCAAACATTCATGCGCAATATTGGATTAGGAATCAAAATGCGGCAAGTGGGTGAGAGTCCTTTGGACTCTGTCACTCAAAATTGTTGTTGTACAGGTAGATGTTGCTGAACCATCAAAGAAGAAACAAGGAGATGACCAGAGCGATACTCTTCTCTTCTACGATTCAGCTAGAATTTCAAATTAAACCATAGTTTAGGCCCTCCATAAATTTTCAATGAAAAATAACATAAAAAATTATACTATTTTACTTAAAAAGACTAAACACACTCACTTACTCACTCCAATGGCCATTTATGCCCAAGGCGGGATTTGGCCGCACCAACAACTAAAGAAAAGAATATAAAAAAAATAAAACTACAAAAATAAAATAAAAAAGATACTTTTTACATTAGGCTTTATAAACAAGTGTGCGTTCTGAAATACTAAACCATAAAACATTACAACGAACAGCTTCCAGTAGTTTGTTATCAATTTATTTTCTTTAAAATTTTTTTTAGTAAAACAAAACTTTTGCATTTAAAATCACTTTTAAATTATTAATATTTATGCAGTGGTGTCTAGGGTTCTGCCCAGATTATCTGCATATCACTAATACTGCGAGTTCCCTATAGAGTGTTTTTATAAAAACGCCAAAAATACATCCTTAAAACTCCCTCACACAATAGGAATGTTAGGCTCCCAATTTTTAGAGTAGGTACATAAGAAGTGCGGCAATTTCTTTTCTAGGGTCCTTTGAATCCGACTTTAAGTCGTGACAAGCATACAGGGATTCCCCCATCGGCTTAGAGGAAAGAAAGGAAGAATGAAATACTGAAAATCTGATCTGTTCCTATTTTTATGACAAGAATACATGGATTTTCCTCAACCATTTGAAAAGGATACCAAAGAGGAACAAGAGATAGTAAGGAAGACAATTCAACAAGAAGTAATCTTACAAGTGGACTCCTCTGATGTAAAAATACACAGCAAAGGCAAGATTAAAAACTCGAAGCAATTAAAATTGAACAAAAAAACTGGATTTAAAATGAAGACAGTCCATATAGAATGACCAAGGATAAAGAAAACCCTGAAATCTTGGAACTACAAAAAAGGTTAATTTATCAGTGAATTTATATTAGATCTATTGTGTAGTGTAGAAGATAAGTTAGTCATAAACTTAAATCTTTTTTAATTTTTTTTTAATATATCAAACTCTCACCCATTGCCAAGCATAACATACCTTTCCAGTACTAAAAAAATAGTTAAAAATTTGTACTGATAAATATATTTTGTTACAATTTATCTGATACTAATGTATAGTATGTTTGTTTCCGGTGGGGTGCTTGATGGAACGAGGAGAGCAAAGAAGAAATTAACGTACGGTAAGTACGCCCTCCGTCCCTTTGCTTTAGAAAACAGTAGATATTCTTTGGTATAAGGTATTTTTTCCCTTTCTGCCCTTTACACTGCAGTAAAATAAATCCAGTCTAAATCTTTCTATGAGAAGATGAAATGCATAAAATGGATGTAAGATCATAGTTTAGTATATCTATTTTAAGTTTTTGACCAGAAAAGGTATTTTTTTAATTTACAAAATATTTCGGAATCATTACATCATCTTTAAAGTTTTTTAATCTTTGGTTAAATGGATGGTATGTTTGTTTCCGGTGGGGTGCGGGATTGAACGAGATCACAGCAGATATTAAACAATGGTAAGTACGTCCTCTGTCCCTTTATTTTAGAGTACAGTAGAGGTTCTTAGCATTATATGCATGTATTAGTCAAACATTCATGCGCAATATTGGATTAGGAATCAAAATGCGGCAAGTGGGTGAGAGTCCTTTGGACTCTGTCACTCAAAATTGTTGTTGTACAGGTAGATGTTGCTGAACCATCAAAGAAGAAACAAGGAGATGACCAGAGCAATACTCTTCTCTTCTACGATTCATCTAGAATTTCAAATTATAACCCTAGTTTAGGCCCACCATAAATTTTCAATGAAAAATAACATACAAAATTATACTATTTTATTTGAAAAGACTATACACACTCACTTACTCACTCCAATGGCCATTTATGCCCAAGGCAGGATTTGGCCGCACCAACAACTAAAGAAAAGAATAAAAAAAAAATAAAACTACAAAAATAAAATACCAAAGATACTTTTTACATTAGGCTTTATAAACAAGTGTGCATTCTGAAATACTAAACCATAAAACATTACACTGAAACCATCAACTGAACTGAACTATCAAAGAAGAAATAGTGGCCCCATCCATGACGGAAGGTGGAGAGCGGGTGCCAAGTTTCTTGGTTACAAGTTTGTAACCCAAGCCCCACGGATTGGAATCGATATCGTCCCTTAATGTCTCCCAGCAACTGCGTTTACTCCGGTTGATGGCTCGACGAAGAGACCTCCTAGCCACTCTGTAAGCATCCGACTTACGACGTCTGTCTACAGGTTCTCTGGCGCTGGTAGCAAGCCTTCTGGCTCTCAATGCTGACCGACGCAATTCCGCAATCTCGGCAGTCCACCAGTACACAGCTCGCTTATTTTACCGGGATCTCTTGCGAGGCATAGACTCATCGCAAGCCGAGACGATTAGTCCCATCATGGATGTAACTAACACCTCTGCGTGAGCCACGCTAGTTGCAGGGGGAACCACCGTTGTTCCTCGTAAGATGGCTTCATTGAATTTTGCCACGTCCAATTTTTTAATATTCCATCTAACGGGCACTTGACGAAACGTGGCTACTTGTCTCTGATGACCATCCAGGACATCAAAAATAATGTAACCGAACCCCAACGAAACCTCGGCACTTCGCATGACCCCGTACTTGTACTTTCGCTGCATTACGCGCCCAGAATGCAGCAGTACCAAGACTATCAGGGAACCAAAAAGATGGGTCCCTATCAGGTACTGGTACTGTTCGCTGACTAAGAGCGCGTCGACATCGTGTTCTAGGGCAAGCTGACATAGAAGTGTGTCAGCCGACCTGGATCGCTCAAGATTGCACTGAAGGATTCTTATCTTCGTGAAAGGGCTTTCGCTTGCTGTAGTGCAGATTTGAATACACTACACTGTCCAGACCCAGCTTTATGCTTCAAGTGTTTGTCAGCGAGCCCATTTTCTTTGCAAAGGAAACAGGACTCGACTTGGCAGTCCTTACGGACGTGACCGACCTCCCCGCACCGAAGGCAGTTCTTGCTTCGGTCGGGTCCCTTGCAGTTTCGGGAGGAATGGCCGAAACAGAGGCATTTAAAACACCTCTTCACTTCCACTCTCCGTCTGAGCCTGCAGTTGACCCAGCCGACTCTCAGATGCTGGAGTGCCAGCACCTTAGTGGCATGTGCGTCTGCCATTTCGGCGACCGCCATCCGCTGCTGACTCCTGTTCGGTTTTGTGAGCCAAACCTTAAGAAAAGCCGTTTGCCCGTCTCTTGGAAGGTTGGATTCCATAATAGATACAAGATAACAGTTTATCATATCCATTGTAAGTCGTTGGGCAAAAAAGGCTGAATTAGTTTTGGTTCAGCCTGACTTTTAAGGTGGTGTATGTACTTCATGTCGTTGGTTATGTGTGGTAACATTCTTAAACTAATTATGGTACCCATACCCCATTTTCATTTTTACTTACTTCAGTGAATGTTTGATGTTGTGCAAGTGTTGAGTTGCTGGGTCCAAAATCAGCTGTTTGGTAAGCTGCACACAGTCCAGCATGGCCGCCACACTCTGAGTTGTCTCATTGAGTTGACTGATCACCAGTAGATCAGATTCACCTTGCATCTCTAAAAGACGAATCTTTAGGAATGACTCCAGCTGCAACACAATTTTCTTTAAGACAACCTTCACATCGTAGAACACTAGGCTAGCCCAGAGCAACTATACACATTATTTCAGGCTATGCCTAGAGGAACACAGCACTATGGTTAAAGCAAAAAAAACTCAACAACTTTATTCCCACATTGACCTCTTGTAAAAAAACTAAAAATGGCACTAGCACAGACATTAAAACATTAGTGAATGGTGGGATTTGAAGCTCATTACCCACAAGCTACTACAGCACATAATAGCTGTTCTTATGTCATTAGGTAGACAAACTTCTACCAAGTTGTTATGTCATTAGTTCCAACATTAAATAGACAAAGATCTACCAAGTATGATCAAACTGTTGACAAATTAAACAGGCATGTGTGTTTGATGGAACACAAAAAGTACTTAAATGACTGGGCTAAAATTTTACTCAAAGGTAGATCTTTAACAACAACCCAACGTTGTAAGGTTTTGGAAGTGGATATCAATTTATTTCCTTGACATATAAAAATGTTTACATTTGCATTTGACTTTAACTTTGTATGTATATTTGGTCAATTTAGATCCTATATTTTGGAATTCACTAATATTCTGTATGGGGGATATTTGCTAAAAACAAGATCATCTGACAGTATTAAGGATATTTTAAACTTTTATCTATAAGTATAAAAATGATCCTGAGTCTAAAAAAGATTAACATTTCTTATTTTAATATTGATTTTAGGAAATATGAAATTGCTACTATTATAGGAGTTAAATATACCTTATTGCCATTGCAATCCCTGGTTTTCTGAAGTTGACACTCTTAAGGTGTCATTGTCAAGTCTTTTCCATGTGATTGTCCCTCCTACTAGGTCGTCAGAAAGTCTTCAAAACACATAGAATATAAATATTTTTACAAATAAATGCTGTATGGCTGTACAAATTATGATCACGGTGCATTCAGGGTGTAGGTCTAGACTCTTAACACTTCAATCAATTCTCTAGACACACAGCAGTCTAAAACTACACCCTAAACCCGCAGCCGCACCGTGAACGTTAGTTGTACAGCCATATAGTATTTCTTTGTAAAAATGTTAATGTTTGTGTCTCTTATGTGTGTTTTAAAGAATTGTTTACAACCTCATGTATGGGGGTTGAACATGACACCTTAAGAGTGCCGACACCACCACTAGCCATTCAGACGAACAGGGATTACAATGGCAACAAGGTACTTAACCCCTAAAATAGTACTTATTTCATGTTTTCATCAACATCATCTTTGGGCGTTGAGTACCGTTTATTATATGAATGTACGCAGGGCTGTTGAATAAATGGACCCAGGGGTGCAAGAAGTTTTATTTTCATGTTGTATGCAGAAGTTTAGGGCGCAAGAAAGAGAAAAATTCCACCACAAGGGGGATGGAGAGGGGCGTGATCATCTCTTGCGGCTATAGTGCATCACATCCAAACGTGGCAGCCTGAATAAATTTGGTTTTAATGTTCATTGTTTTGTGTTCCTGTCTATATGTTAAATGTATTGTATGTGAATTGACAGCCTTCTGATGAAGCAATTACGACATCCTTCAAAGCCTGAAGATGACTTCATGACAAGTCAAAACTAGTTGCTGCACAAGCAACATTTGGCATACACAGAAGCAGGTGTATTTCAAACAATTTCTATACCATTTAAATCCAATTTTGTTAAAATAGGCTAAACCCCAAATTTGTTACAATTTCTTATTCTGAACAAGTTGTGCCACTATCTCTAGTATTATAATGTACTTAACCTCAAGCAGTTGATTGATAACCTCCTCCCTGGTGTCAGGATTGTCCAGTAGTAACAAAGCATTCTTACCACGGGCTACTCCAGCTGTGGACTCCTCACACTCTACTTCTATACCACTCTCTTCTAGGGTGATACCATAGTCTATATCCTGTCAAAACATCAACATAAGACTGATCATTTAATTTTATACTTATCTATTTTAGCCATTAAGCAGTGGCCAATGTTAGAAGTGGGGGATGGCTAAACCTTTTTGGCAATTTTGCGGACCTTTTTTAAAAAATCTGTAGACATTACAAATATGGAGTAAACCTATAAATATGTGTATTCATTTTATTCAAAAAGACCAGGAGAATCTGAATATACTTAAATAAAAATTGAGTTGGTAACTTTTTTGCAAAATAAAAAAAATCCAAATTTCCAATACAAAATTTCAAAATTAAAGTCCTGTTATTACTAAGGGTATATTTTTTAGCCAAACCCATTATAAACCTTTTGTTATAAATTCAATTCCCTACATAGAAATGTATACCAAATAGGAGAAATATTTTTTTTACATGCGTTATGTAAGAAAATATGAAAAATCGCAACTTTTTTGTGTAATTAGTGATAATAATATAGTACATATTAGGCTATTGTAGATTGTAGGTTATAAACTAAGAAGGTACACAAAAAATCAGACTTGTTTTAGTAAAAGAATTTTGTATAGATTTTGAATTTTCCATTTTTAGACATAAATGGACCAAATTGGTCCATGGCCATTCTAGGGTGAGCGGTGAAATGGACCAATTGGGTCCATTGGCCACTATGTTAGGGCTAATTATGATTGACAAAAAAAATTGCTTAACGGTTAAAATAGAAATACCAAAGTTTTAATTTAGGAAAAAGTTTACTGTAGTATTGATAAATATTGTGAACATATAAAAGGACGGATCATGTTGATAATTGTCACTTCAATAATTGGAATTTCCTGTCTTTATAATAAAAGGAAGGAATATCACTTACTGTTTGTTCTGCTTGAATCTTGATAAATAAAAATGTTATATACCTACTAGTGATTTTTTTGAAAGTTCTTGAGTACAAATTTTATAATAATTTTCTTGAATTGATTTACATATTTTCTTCATTAATTTTAATTTCATTCTGGCTTCATTCTAATCTTCATCAGTCACAGATGTTGTTTTCAAATAATTTATTTGTTGATAATTTATTTTAAGTTAATTAAACTGCTTGCATGAACAGTGTTGCCAATCTTAATAATGAAATGTTCATTAAAATACAATGTGATATAATGCGTGTTGTAATAGACCTCAGTGACTGAGACAGTAATAAGCAGGAGTTGTAAAAACTGAAATCAAAATGCAGACATCCATCCAAATACTAACCAAGCTACATGAAATACATGAAATGTAAAAAAAAAACACAATTTTAATATCAGTGCTTTGTTTATTAGATAATAGAGAGATGGTTTTAAGCCATAAATTGGAGCATTGTGTCTCTGTGAGGTGAATTTGAGACGGAACTTTGTACAATTTAACAATTATTTAAATTAATATAAATTGAGGTTTGTTAAGTTCATATTTCACAGAATACTGTACATTTGCAATCTTAAGTTATGCTTAAGTTAAGCTATCTGTTAAAGAATTATCTAATTTTATTTTAATGACACATGACCCATACTCGTTTACCTACCTTCTTTTGTATTTATTTTCAGAACTAACTACTCATTCTCGGGTAACACTTTAATAAACTTATAAAATGGAAACAGAAAACCAGAAAGTATACTAATAAAATTACATCTCTTGCAAAAGAAAAGATTCAACACTTTCAAAAAATACTTAAATTCGAATACTTACATAATTCACACTATTGTCAACATCTCCCCAGTCTATCTCTTCCTCTTTAGCTTCTGGTTCCTAGAGAAAAAATATTGTAATAAAATGATATCTTCATATAAAACTGAATTTTTGTTACTGTTAATCGATGTAAAACAACTAGTTCTATATACAAGTTGAAATACCCTTACCCCAGCAAACCTGCAGAGTTAGTGAATTTCAATTTGTCTGAAAGAATATTTACTAAAATATTTCCTTAACCCTCGAGAGGGCGCATAGACCAAAATGATAATAATGGACACATCGGTCTTTTCAACCAAATTAACATTTTTTTGGGGGGAAAAAAGGATAGTTGATGAATACCAAGGAAAAGGATTAAATTATATGATATCTAATCGTCATACTAATAGAAAAACCGCATAATTTTATATTATGCAGAGTTCTGAATAAAAGAAGGTTTCAACTGATTAGAAACAGAGCCCTAACGGACCCTACGTCTGTAGAACGGGCACACATCTAGTAGGGAATAAATCTGATATGGTCAAGGAAATCTTTAGTTATAACCAATCATACCAATGGAAATTTGCCAGCAGCATTTTACTATTCAATTCCTTAATTTTAACACTTACATCATCAAATTTAGGAGTTGGGGGCTCTTCTACAGATGCAGGTTTCTCTCCAAAAAGCCACTCGTATGTTGTAACATTTCCTCTGTCTATAACGTTAAAAATAATGAAATTAACTGACGCCAATGATGCCAACATACAAGGTAAACTATTATTACAAGGAGCTGACAATGGCCCAAAGGTCAAAACGTCTCCACAAGAAAAAAGGATTGAAATCGTAAGTAAATACAAGGTATTGAAACACAATAACTTTTAGGTACAGGTCAGTTTGGTCTCCTGAAGGACGGAGTTCAACTGATACACTTTTTGGGATCATTACTAATGTCACTAGCAGGGTTGCCACCCCTCCCAATTATGTCGGAATAGTCCCGATTTTGGTTCCTTATGCCCGTATTTAAGCCTATATTAATCCAGGGACGAGGGGGGGCCATGTCCCGATTTTTCCTTAACCTAAGGTGGCAACCCTGGTCGCTAAAGCTCTTGGAAGATCACAGGATGTAGCTAGTCTCTAATATGAAATGTAAAGAGCACTTAACCGTGTTAATCATAGCTTATTATTCCTATGGGTGTGTGAGTACCCAAGTGGTATTTTCATGAAATTTCAAATGAGTATCTCAATACTCTGCTCTTCTCAAGCTTTTTGAGAAAGCTTGATTCCTAAAGCCTTTAAATTAGTTTGCTGGAAGCATTTCCATCTGTTTAATATGGCACAATCTGTGTAGTACTCACTCATGTCTCTTTATCCTAGGCTCGAGGTTGGAAAAACATATTTTCCATATTTCTTTATTTTAGAAAGAAACGTGTGCATATACTAACCACTGACAAAGGTAAGAAGTGGAAGAACATTAGTCTCTCTGTCAAACACATATTGTGAGAATGCAGAGTAGTATTTGAGGGCAGAACGGAGAGACGCAATGTTTTCCGCCACTTGCTGATAGATCTCTGGCAGTTTGCTGAGTCGGTCTACAAGTTCTTTCTTTACATTACGACCCGTTAGGCCAAGTTGTTTGTACGTTGTGTTTAGCTCATTTCGAGCAGAGTTCTCATTTTTCACATATTCAGCAGCTCTCTTCTCACAATCCTATTTCAAAAAGTAAAAATTAACAAAAAACCTAATTTTTCATGATTGTTTTCTATAATAGTCATATGATGATTTGGGTTATAAATTGGTTCAATTAACTATTGACTTATGCTTTAAATCACCAAGAGAATTTGTAAATAGGCTATTTAGTTTATTATTTATTTGTGCTCTTTCTAATCAATTGTAGGCTGTTTTTATACAGAATAATATATTTTTTAGTAACAACTTTTTGCAGAAGGCATGATTAAAAAACACAAGTAGACGTGGATAGAAATTTTTGTTCTCAAGCATAGATGAAAAAGGTAGATGATGGCACTTAAGAATTATTTTTGTATAGTAAATTATTTTTGTATAGTAATTTATAATAGTACAGTATAATAATACAGAAATATCAAGCTAAGATTTCAAATTATATTTTTTATTCAAGTTACAGGACTTGTAAATACACACATCTACCAATCTGGCCATCATCTTTGCCTTTAAAACCTAGTGACTATGTTATGACAGGTAAGGTGATCAACCAGCTGACCTGTTATCATCACCATTCTTTTTTTGGACGGTCTATCAAAATGTCTATTAAAATTTAGGAAAAATGACGTAGTAAGAATGGTAGTTTATTAATTTTTAACTAAGAAATCTTCAAACAGCAGTACATATTTTTGTAATTGGCAATATTTAAAAGATATACTAACCTGTTGATTTTGATGACATTTTGCAACTTGTTTCTTCAAGTTGGGTATTTCATACTTTACATTTGAAATAAGTAAATGTGCAGCTTCAGCTAAGTATAAATTGTCTTTTTCATACATCCGTACCACTTCTTGCCAATCTTTCATACGCTGTGATCCATAACGGCCAAAAACATTTTTTGAGTCTGCTTCAGTTTCCTTCAGTATTTCGACAATACGAATGCAGTGAAAGTAGTTTATATCTGTAAAATATTAAGAAAAGTGTTATAAATTGTTTGTAACTTAGTGGTCAATTTTACATACTATAGTGGCTAAATAACAATCCCTAGACTTAAATTGCATGAAGAATTAACAAATAATACTGATGTGTCCTATTTTAATATAAATGCATTTTAGTTGGTACATCATAGATCATCCATACATCATAGATACACGACCACGGGAAAAGATCAGAATTTTGCCACATTCGCGGTAGACGATGATAATCTCCTGACGACCGCGTTAATGAGACGAGACAAACGTGTAAATGTTCATATATTTTCACGATCATGGAAGACGATAATTATGTCCACACGACAGCGGAAAATAGTCAGAATTTTGCTGCAATCGTGAGAGACAATTATTGTGATGTCTACACGACCGCGAGGGATTATCAGAGTTTTAACGCGATCATATGCAAATATACCTGACCACAAAATATTTTATTTTCCAATTTTTTGGCGCTCCCCAAAAAACCCAATTGCCTCGCGCCCTAGGCACGTGCCTACCGTGCCTATTCGGTAAATCGGCCCTGCCAACTAATCAATTAGTCAACCTTAGAAATACTTAATCACACACTTGTCATTTAAAGTAAGCTGCATGGGGTGAACAATAAGCGATTGGTTTGATCCCTATACTGTCCTTTAGATGGTTTAGAACTCAAAAGTATAGTTTCCTTTAAAAGTATTTAAAATTTCGTCAAACATAATTGAATAGGTACACTCCTCACACTGCCCCTTTGGCCTTGTTTACAGTCAATAGCAGCTCCCGCATCAAATTCCAGATTAAGGGGGAAAGGGGGATATATATCATATACCTCCAACCACCCTGATAGCTAAGTCTAAGGTTGTTACATCCATCATCAAAATAAGTCACAAATTCATATCTAAATAGCTTTTTTAAATCTATTCTATATTGTCTAGAATATTGTCTCCGCGACACCACTCAACATTGTTGCAGTTCACGTTTTGCTTGGAAAACAAAAAAAAATGTTGGTGGCCTATCAGAAAACGTAACGTGTGTGACAGCAATCACAGGGAATTTTAAAGGTGTGGTGTTCTGCCATTTTCACCTCTTGCTTACAGGATTTGCTAAAGGGGAGTTAAAATGTAGCTGTAATAAGTGTTTTTCTGCAAAGACTCGTATATTCAAGAAGAGTTTTAGTTTGTTATATTATATAGAGACAAGATGATCTCATCAATAGTTTTATAAGTTTAACTCATCGAGCCTGGTGAAGGAACCAACCAACTATCAGACAACAGTAAAAATCCAATAGGCTGACTAGCCAATCGAGAAGGCACGGAACGCCATTTGACGTTATGAACCCGGTAAGTAAAGTCAACTTGTCTGCTTTATATCTTACTACTAGCATAGCATTGTCTGCCAGCCTCTTGTACTTGTCCGGTTCTGTGCATTTCCAACGTCCGAGTCTTAAAACTCTTGATTTCCCACTGATTGGTTTTACTGTAGCTGGGTCTAAGCAGTATAAACACTGAAAAATTTGGTTTTATACCAAGTCGGATTTTCCATTCATAAGATCGACCAAACCTTAAAGTCTAGTTTTCATTAAATCTATTAACAATTTATGGTGTTGACAGGAACATTATTGATTGAATGTTTGACAAAAAATACTCACAAGCTCCTGAAAGCAACTGGGCGATCTCCGGATGCTGAGGCATATCTTGGATGGCTGAGTTGATCTTCTCTCTCACAGGTAGAATAGATTTCTGCCATTCACCATTAACGATTCGTCTACTTATCAACCAGTCGAGTAATTTATTTGTGTTTATATCTATTGGAATGTTTTGATCCTGAAAATTTTTTCATAAGAGTAGTATCATTTTGTGTGTAGCCTTCCAGATTACTTCTCAAATAATATTACAACAAGATTCTACGTCTTGTTTGACAATGATGGCATAGGCATTGAAACCGGTCGCCGCTTAGGTTAGGTTATGATAGTTTAATTTTATAATTTGATATATTTTAAAATATTGATTATTAATCAATATTTTCAATTTGATAGTTTCAATCAATATTAGCATAGCCCAGTTAAGAAACTGTACCTGAAGTTTGTAAATATTAGTTTTATAAATATGTAAGTCTTAAATAGTATGTTAAAATGCCTCTGACGCAATCTATCCAACATTGTCGGTCAAGGGTTAAGGACACAAGTATCAAGTAACACACTATGTAGACCTATTCGCAAATTGAGATGACAAGGCGATGAATCCCCTAGAGACAAATTGGTACTTAAATAGTGAAACTGTCATATAATAAGGTTTGGACTGTCTTAGCCCCGAAATAGGGGAAATACAAGGGGTACAGTTTCTTAACTGGGCTATGCTAATATCGATTGAAACTATAGAATTGAAAATATTGATTAATAATCGATATTTTTAAATAGGCTATATCTATTATAAAATTAAACTATCATAACCTAACCTAACCAGCCAAACTTGCTGATAGTGAAAAAATCGCATGAGGGGTTTACTAACCATCAAATCGATAGTTTCAATCAATATTAGCATAGCCCAGTTAAGAAACTATACCCTATTAAAACTTAGCCTTCTAGTTGAATAAGTATTAAATATGCCTAACTTATGTCACTAAGCAGATACGTAGTAAAGATTACAACAATTAGTTAGTTGTCTTACCATTGTCTTAGTTTTTGTAAATAGAAATTAATATTACGGTTTACAGTCGAATATTCACATTCAAACACAACTCTTTTTAATTGTTCCTATTTTTATTTTTACATTTACAGCTTTATTAACTTTAACCTACAAATAAAGATGACGTTTATACAACCACAACAAAGTCAGTAAATGCCAATGCCACAACACATCAGCGGTGGGACACACGGGAGGGACGATGGCTAACATATAGGTAGTATAACTAAAAATGTCTTTGATTATCTGTGGACTGTTTTAATAGTTATATTTATTATAACTAGTTGACACTGCTATGCATTGTAAAATGTTCTGGCAATAAAGATTTGATCTGATTTGAAGGTTAACTTGGGAAACTCCAGAGCCACTGGGGCGGAGCCCTTTTGACGGATCAGCACCAAACATCACACAAACCATCCTTGAATAATGCCTGAAAGTTTCATTACAATCTGTCAAACGGTTTCGGAGCCCATAAAGGACAAACAAACAAACATACATTGGATTTTATAAATATAGATAGATTATTTCTTGCTATTTTAATGGTGTGATTGAGCTCAAAAGCTTAATGTTAAAGGTATAATGGTTATCAAAGTTTTAATGTACCACGTACTGTATTATAAAGTGATGGTATTGTCTAAGGGGAAAATAGTTATGGATCGATAAAATAAATATAGAAACATTCTTGGTTTTTTTTTGTACATACAATATAGAGCTGAATATAAACATTTTGTGATTATTCGGGTTGTTTTCAAGAATTGGGTATAATTTTACATATCAATTGATATGTACCTTATTTAGTATAAAAATAACCACCTTATGCAAGATTTATATTATTTCAACAATGTTATATGGCATTAAACATAAATATTAACATTTAGGGTAACTTAAAGTAGATTTTGGGTAATTTTAGACCACCTTTAGGGTAAAATCGCAATAACGAGGTGGCTGGCAATAACCATTGAAGTATATAACACAAGTTGTGTTATAATACTTCGGTGGCAACAATACTGCACTGGATAGTGAAAACTGAAAACTGGACTGTGTGTGTGGAGTGTGGATTTTGAAATGGAATGGATTAGGAAATCGGAATCTGCTCTCTTGCTCTCTCCTCTGCTTGCTCTCTGCCGCTCTGCCCGCCCTGCCTAGTGCCTGCTTGTCTGTCTGTAGTGTTAGTTGCCGCCGGCGCCACTGTTGCCGCCAAAATTGCTAGCTAGCGTCGTTTCTGATTTTTTAACATAAAGTTTGCACTGTTTGCAGGTTTTGATTGGATTTGAATTGAATAATTTAATTATTTGTCGTTCGTATCTGTGTCTGTAGTGTAGTGTTAATAGGACAGACTGGATGAAATAGTTTTATTTTAAGTAGTACTTTTATAGTTTTTGTAATAGTTATAGGCTAGGTTAGCCTACCGGTAGGCTTACTGCTAGGATTCGTTTTCAAAGTTTTAAATATATTAATCTGAAAGGAAACAAGAGACAGAGAAAAAATGACTAGCACTGAACAACAAACGAAGAGCACTATAACTCTTAAAGGCTCTGTAGAATTAGTAATTGACTATTTAAGTAAGTAGCCTACTAATGAAAACAGTGATTATCTAAGAGGTTCATGTGCTTATGTTACATGAGAATGATGAGTTTTGTATCCTTGACAGTTTAGTTTTGTTAATAATTAACTATAAATAATCGCTTGGTCTTCGGCAGTTTCTACTGTTTGATCTAGGCTAAGTTAACTTGGGTAGTATTATCCTACTTAGCCTAACTATCTACTGCTACTGTAGCTTCCCTGATGCTGTAGTTCAATGCTGAATACTTTTTTATACTTTTACACTTTTCTTTAAAATGGCGACCATACAAAGTAGGTATTTTAAGCCAAGTATGAATGGAGATGAGTGGCGCGATCTTGTTGTCTTGTTAGTGACTAAGGTCGACATATTCCTTAGACACAGCTGGTTAATTTATAGCCCATACAGCTAATGGCAACTAAGGGACCTATAGTCTATAGTGGAATCCGAACCACTTTTTTTCCTTCGTATATACGAATTGGTCTAATTATCAGGATAGTACTGCGGATAGTCGTAGTACTCACCCGTGTGGACGTAAATCCACACCAGGGAGTATCGCATCCACAGTGCATGCCTATAAATATCCACAATAGTAAGTGCATGCAGTCTCTTGAACCTAAGCGGTTTTTGTCTCCTAAACTAACTAAATTTATTAGTTATGCTTGTACAAATGAGGACAAAGGTAGGCTAAGTTAAACTAAGAAGCACTCACAGTAACAACCCTCGCTAATGGTTAAGCTTGTACAGTGACCCAGGGTGCAGTTCCGCAGAAAACCTCCAATATAGTAACAGATTTAATATCGTTATGATTATATCAATTTGAATTTGGTTTGAAACAGGATCGAACCGAATGAAAAACATTAGGGCCTATATCATATCATACTAATATTATAAATGTGAAAGTTTGTTTTTGTTTGATGTTCAATCACGCATTATCTAATAGTCGGATTGTGTTGAAATTTGGTATGATGATAGCTCACATTCCCGATTAACATATAGACATATTCTTACCTCAAATATCCTTTCGGGCTCCGCCCCAGCGGCTCTACAATTTCCCATGTTAACCTTATGATTATTCATATTTAAAAGGAATAAATAATTTTGCCAGCTGTCTCAACTACACAATTTGTTTCTATGATATCATAGACAAAAAGAATTAAATATAGACCGTCAGCTGTGCTGCGGTTACCATAAGTTCTGGCGCACACTGCTGGGATCGCCACGGTAGTTACAGCGTACGCGCTACGTAAACTACAGCGGTGTGCGCCGGAACTTATGGTAACCATGGTAACCGCAGCACGGCTGACAGTATATATTTGATTCTTTTTGTCTATGATGATATTCAATAGCATTAAAAGATTATACGGTTTACCAACAGGGTGCAGCACCATTAGTTCTTAATACATTTATGACAACAGCTAATTTGAACCAAGCAGCATCAGAAACCTGAGTGTGAGAACTTTACTTCTTTCTTTGTTTGGGTGAAGAGGTAAAACATTATGGCTATGGTAGATGTTCTATATACTATAGTATACCGTAGATTATAGTAAACCAAATTTTCACAAAACGTGTCCTTTCTCATTGCAAATGCAAAGCACGAGTATTTAACTACAATAAGCATTGTGTACCAAACCCGTACTAAGGACGGGTACTCAGCTAGTATATATATATAGATATTTAATCCGATAATAGGCTAACTTATACGTACGGTATCTCAGGTTCTCTGAGGAACTGTAGCCTACCCTTTACCCAATGAATTTATGATCATCTGTTTGCCGCCTAATGGTGCCAACTATCTCAATGATTGATGATTGATAACTGAAGTTAGCGTGTGCAAGAGTATTCGACAGAAATCAGTAGGCCTAGGCTATTTTACATTAGTGCATTTTGTCGGTGATATAACTTGATTCAAGTAGGCCTACCCCTACTCTACTTGATGATAGCGGTTAAGCCTACATAGATTTTTATTCAAAATCACACTTCACTTTTAACACAAGGGTAAAAGTTTATGTATTATATTGTTTTTTCTGAATCATTGTGATCTATTTTTGGACTTGCATGGATCACTTGGCGATTTAATGTAACCTCATATATACCGGCATTGTAAAAGCTGAATATAAGTTAGGCCTAGTTAAAAAAAGTGTTAAAAGTTCCCATGCTTTTTTATGGATGAAAGGCTAAATTAACTGTTGTAGTTCGCTTGTTTGCCTAGTTATTAATCAATTTGACAATTTAAAGCTACCAATTCAATGAAAAATAAACATCATTAGGTCTACCTTCCCTGTAGCTGCAAACCTAAGTACTTATGGAAATTGGCTTAGTTTGCAGGTCTGCTGCGGCAGGGTTATTTGGTTAAGTTTTGTAAGTTAACCTGTTAATTTGTTACAGATTATGGGATCAATAGTATTCTATTCCAAAGAGGCATTTACCCTCCAGAGAGTTTTACAACTGAGGAGCATTTTGGTTTGTCAATTTTGGTTTCAACTGATGAAAAAATCATAGGTTTCCTCCAGAGTGTTTTGGGACAGATTAAAGGTAAATTTGCCAACTTCTATGTTTATTAGCTGTTGTTTATGATTATGTGAAACTGTTCTCTGCTAATTTATGAATTCAAACCAAAAGAAACTTAAGAATTTGCAAAAAATAACAGGCATTTGTTTTGAAAAATGTTGAAAAGGAAGTTAAGTTATGGCAGTCTTGATTATCTGATTGTTGGCTATCTAACCGATTGTGTCATCCAATCCTTCCCGTAGGGGTTGAAATATAATGTGTGCCTATTCTATGTGCCTTCTGTGTGTTCTATGACCTACCTGTACTGCTTCTAAGGTTATTCCCATTCTTCAATCGTCTCTTGAGTGAATCTATTTAATTATTTTCTATAATGTGTGTTTTAGATTGGCTTTTAAATGAACAAGTAAACAAAATGTCCCTTATAATCGCTAACGTAATTACAAAGGAAGTTTTGGAGCGGTGGGATTTCAAGCTTGAATATGAAAAGCCTGAGGGGGAAGCTTCAGGAAAAGGTGACCATGTTGGAAAGAAAGACTTGAAAGTGATCCAGAAAGAAATCAGAGATGTTCTCAGACAGATTTGCTCAACTGTCAGTTTTCTCCCCCTTCTAGATTGTCCTTGTAAGTATGAAAGCAAAGCACCACCTTAAAATAAACAAAAATTACTTGAGAAGTGAAGTGTAAACAGAGGCAATATAAATTGGATACTTTATTGGTAAAATGTTGAAGGGAGTAAATTAAATTAATTTTAAAAATGAAAAGCAAGTTTATTTAAAGGGCACCAAGTTTTTGTTATCCCGGAGATGGATTTAGCCTTATTAGATTTGTGGGGTTATTGAAATTGTTGGCAGGTCTTACCTGAAACAATCTAGGATTTGTTTCTGCATTTTAAATGCTATCAAACTCAGATAAGTTTTTCTTGTATTCTTTTAATTTGTGTAACGTATTTTCTGTCTCTATCTTACTCATTACGTCTTATGGCGTTTCCGCTCACAAAATACGCCATAACTCTGTTCATAGTGGCTCGATTGTCAATTTGTTTACACAGTTGTAATCTGCATGAAATTGCGGGGATTATGATATATGTTTTATATAAAATTCTTTTTTAGATTATATTAATTCTTAAATCTACTGAATACTGTTTGTTATTACCACTTTTTAAATTAATTATAAAGCTGTTATCATTGCTAATGATTAATTAACTTAATTAAGCACACACACTTATGTTTCTAATGTTTAATCTTATGTTTTTTATGCATTTAACATGTAGGAGAGGACCCATGCTGATCCGCAGCGTTAAAATAAATATATATTCCAAGAAAATCAAATTTATGATTTTTGATTGAGTAATACAGTATCTTGAGCTTAACTGATTCAAACGATCAATAAATCAAATTAAAGCCTATACGTTACTGATTATTTTGAGTCCAAAACATATAAAAATCATTAACAATACTGGAGCTATTGATTTTTAATCATATAAATGTAGCGTGTCACCGTCCCTAAATCAAGTGTATTTTTTAGTTGTTTTTTTGCTTTTGTATTTAGGTTAAGTTGTAACAGTTTTCTTAGTTCTTTTCGGCCTTTTAGGCTTATCTAACGGCGAATCACGTAATTTCAACGCAAGTGTAAGAACAGAGAGACGCGTTGAAGTTACTATGATCCCGTATTGGAATAGGGAGGGGGTACACGCCACACGGGCATTGTCATCTATTAGCGTATTAATAGTATTAATAGGCATTAATAGCGATTCACCCATCGTACTGTCTATATCATTGCTCTTGCTCATAATTAATAATATATACTAATACTCACACATCCGCATCTAATAGTTCAAATAAACCTTAAGTATTCAGCATCAAAATTATTATTATTATTTTATCTTCCCAATCTCATTAGGGCCTACTCTCCCTCAATTAGAGCAGTGGTGGCAGCGATACCTCCTGAAGTCCCTTGACTTTTCTCGTAACCGGTACAGAAAAACCTCATGAAAAATGGTTTATATGTTTGTTCTTTACCTTGCATTTGCTTGAAACTTGTCCGATTTGAATAACTAATAGCTTATGTGAAAGCCGGTATTTCACTGAAGGTTCTTAGACCAAAATATAGGATTATATAAATATAGATTGTGAAATACATCATACATTGATGTAAGAATACAAACACTAGATAAATATATGTCGTCGGGTTGAAGAGCAAAATAAACTCGGAAAAGAGAAACCAAATTGAACTTCCATAAGAAATACATGGGGAGCGAATTTCGTTTAAGTATAAGCCAAGTGGGATTACAAATATATATATGCCGATGCTTGGTGGCAAATCTGTGCGTCCATACCTTCAATTTTTAGACCTTAATCATGAAAATCGGTCGCTTAGCAGAGCCAAACGAACACGGATATGAAAAACCAATTTTTATATATATAAGATTTTGTATGTTAGTAATAAATTATGCTTCATACAGCTAAGTTAAACAAATTCATATATTTGTTCAGTTGGAGTGCCAAATGAAACGAGCACCAAAAGGCTTAGAATACGTTATGAAAAAACTTGTTTTTTACGAAACAAGCCGTTTATCTATGACAATAATATTTCAATACAATACAATTGTAAAGACATTTACAATTTTACAATTATAATTTCCTATGTGTTTTTGAACAGTATTAATTTGTGCAACTTTTGCCGAAGACCAAATTCCCTTATTTCCTAAAATATCCCTAAATATGTTAAGTACTAGACTTGCAATTAATTGTGGCAGTAAATTTTATAATTTTGAAAACTTAAAAACTATAATTGTGACTTAACTTCTCTAATCCCTGATGGCTTTGTCATTAAATCAACTTTAATCGAGTTTAAAGTGATTTGTTTATAAGTACAAAGTAGTATGCATTTAGTAAATAAGGTAGCCTCAGACATCTGTATTTTGAGAGGCTTAATAATCTATACTTATTTAATACGCAAGCAGGTTTTTTGTGACAATTACTCCTCCGAAACTACTGAACCGATTGATATGTTTTTGGTGTCATTGGAAAGAGGGTAACGTGAAGTTGTGCAGGAAACTTTCTTTTTAGGGAAATAATTAGAGAGTGAGGCCCTAGAGCCCTTTAAAGTTTCGTATTTCTCCGTAAGGATAACATGGGAGATAATTTTTGTTTACAAAAACATATGTTTGTTACTTGAAAATAGTCAAAGACTACTACATAATAATTTATGTGTATTATGACTCTCAATGTGTATACCTACTACATTTCAATCAAGGATTGTGTACGGTACCTTAAAGTTTACCCATAATGGATCTTACTACTTTATTTTAATGCTGGGAATAGTAAAATTTTTTACCATGATTTAGAAAACTTTACTATAATAATTTATGTACCGGTATTTAAATCACAAATCGTTGATATTATTAAATCATTTGAAACTAAACAGCTGATCGACAAATCAAACAAATCATCTACTTCATGTGAATAATGTTATTACACAAACATAGTTTTTTTTTACCAATATCTTGATTCTTTTTTACTTGTGGGTGTATTTTGATTTTGCAGTTATGAAAGCACCAAGCCAAGTAACTTTTATCTAATTTTCTTTATAAACTAACAGTATTAATGAATTACTACATGAACTTGACAAGACAGGTAATTAATTGTCAGTATGCCAAGGGGAAGAAGAGTGGGTCCTTGAAAACAGACGAAGGCAGAGACACCCATCTAGAAAATCCAACTGAGTTTTTAAATATAGAGGTCAGTGGATTGCCAAGACACAGATTAGACTAATAAAAGGGGGCAGTGGTTTTATTGGTGAGGAATATTAATACATCGAAAAGGGCTTCATTAATAGCACAAGGCTTCATGTGATCAGAATGGTTAACAACTTAATAGAATGTAAAGTCTTAACTGGAACAAGTGAGTGGGGACATATTTTGATTTCGAGGATAAAAATTAACCGTCTGAAACAAACTTACCTTTTAAAATGGAAAGATGCTAATTTCTGTTACCTTTGGCATTTGCAGCGCTATATTATATGTTGTTTTAAGTAAGGCTACATCTTTTAATAGGATACGCATATTCGTTACGGAAAACTCTGACCAGGGTAATCTTCCTGAAGGTAACTTTAAGGTTAAAATCGTAGTATTCATGGAAGTGTTTTTGTGATAAAAATATTGTTTTTTTAGTGTTTATTTTTAAAAGTGTGTTTTCTTCAAGCAGCATTTATATGACCCTCAAAATATGCTACATAGGCCTATTGGTTTGATATGATAAAATGTTTTGTTAAATGTGTTTTGAAAATCTTTAAAAAATAACTACCCTACAACCTTGCTTGCTGCCTATAACATACTTGAACTTGAACACTTATTAATTTACTAAATATAATAGGCCCTACACATACAGCTAGAAAATGGCTGGACAGCTTCCCTTCCAAGGCTTCATTATTACTGTATGTAATTTTCGACGTCGAGTCAATATATAGGCCTAATACGATGCATTTGTTTTCTAAATTCTAATCTAATCTATCTGTTTTCTAAATGTTATTTTGCGGGGCATTGAGCCGCACAGGTTCACTAGTAATAATTTAATTTAAAAAAAATTTTAGTCAGGCACTTTTATTGTTTTAATACTGGTACTACGGGGTTTTTACTGACGTAACTACATCAAAAGCTTCGTACTTTTATAACAAGTACAATGGTGGAAACCGCGTTTAAATCAAATAAGTATCAACAAAGATATGATAGTTTATATCAATGAAAACACGTTCTCCCAATATAAAGTGTATGGCAGCGGCGGCACGGTGTATACGTCAGGTGGTGGGGGGAGTGCCGGACCGATACGTGTGTGTGTATATCTGAGCTGTACAGCGCGCGATCCAGTTGTAGTAATAGAGATCGATGGGTCGGTTAAGTCTCCTGTACATCTCTTATCACAAATACTTGGAAATAGCATTATATTTGACTTCATAACCTTTATTATTGTATTTTTTTAATGCATTTAGGTTCCTTTGACCTGCTCATCTATACAAAGAAGGATTGCCAAGTTCCTAACGAATGGGACGAGACTCAGCCTGTCTTCATTGCCAACTCACAAGAGCTTCAGATGCGCTCCTTCTCCACTTCCCTTCATAAAATGCATACAATCGTCAGTTATAAGGTTGAGTAGCATTTTCAACTTCAGCAAAAAAAGACTCTCGGTGCTTTTGGAGCTTGATTCCTTCTTTCAAAGAACTTAGTAATAATGTGTAAATTGCAGTCTACTGTTTTGTACTTTTTCTATTTATTAATATTTCGTTATAAAAGTGGTCAACATAAGTTAGGTTGTTTGTTCATGTTGAACACAGTTGGGTTCATGGCATGAATATGTTGGAGGTGAAGATGACTCATGGAAACTATGCTTGAAATAAGGCAATTAAGTATTAATCTATACAAACACTCAGGAACCTGAAGTAGCTAGACATGAAGGGGCTTCATGACTTCTGTTTTTGTAAACAAACTCTGGAAATAATGTGCTTAGATTAAGCGAGGCGTACGTTCAACCAGAATTAGGCGGAGTTCTATTTTATACTAAGCAGTTACTAAAAAATACCTCAAGAGTTTAAGCCTTAAAATAAAATGAACAAAATGATTAGTCTGATTTTAATTAGACATTGTTGATAGTCAATAGAATTAAAGTGTACAATATTAGAATATTATTTATCATGTTGTCTCCACTTCTTTAATGACATTTATTAATTGTCTTTTATGAATTTTTTATACCTTTCCTAACCTGACTTGTGATGATGTTGTTACATTAAAGAATAAATAAAAAAAAATTCTTGTTTCAATTACCTATAGGCCTAGATGAAAGACAGCAGAATAAGCAAATTTCCATTTACCTGATTGGATTTTCAATTCAATCTAATAAAATAACATTAGTGTTAACAAGTACCTAGGTTTGCTGCTACAGGGGAGGGTAATAAAGTGTTTTTTTTATTAAAATATTAATTTCATGATGGGTAGCCTCTGGACCATACAGCAACAATAATAATGGTTTAATAATTAATTCACCTCTGTCAATATGGTCCTTGCATAGTTTGTCACTACTGCAGTTTCGTGCTCGTGGAGCGCATCCAGGTGAAGATCACGAAAGTTAAAACATTTTCTTCATGTGAAGGTGGTCAATTTTTGAAAAAAACTGACCATACTACTGAAAAACTTTATACCATTCGTGTGTTATATGTTTTCGGTGTTTTTTCAAAAATTGACGACCTTCACATGAAGAAAATGTTTTAACTTTCGTGATCTTCACCTGAAGATGTGCTCCACGAGCACGAAACTGCAGTAGTGACAAACTACGCAAGGACTATATTGACAGAGGTAAATTAAACCATTATTAAAATATTAATAGGTAGCTTAATATAAAATAAATAAATTAGCCAAGTTTGATAAAAATATATCCATAAACAAGTAAACATCTATTCTATCTATCTATATATTAATAGGCAAGCATGATTCTTTAAAACCTTTTTTCTCAGCTTGTGTGCATCGCAGGGAAAATCTACGCGTTTAAAAAATTCAAATAGGCTCAAATATAAGCACAAAAAATAGATTTGAAATTAAAAATAAATTAACAAGGGCTTTTTATGGGTTGCCATGCTGGTGACGAAATATCAACAAAATATAAACAGAAAATCAAAACAAATGGAAGAAATTACAATCACATGTTTTATTTACAGTTTGGGTGCAAATAGAGGAGTCTGTACCTTTACATTCCATCCCCATTGTCACCAGTTTTTTAAATTAAATTTGTCGTAGTTGATGTGAGCCACCAACAGATTGCGCTGGTCTAAAATGACTAATTTCTGTCGAATAGACGATGTTTTTTTACCAAGTCAAACTTATGGAATGACTTATTATGAGCTATAGCGACTGTTATGACCCATCTACTTTGTCAGTAACAAAAAATAAGGTAGAAAAAAAATTTGACTCGCATTTGGTGACTGGATCACACAACTACATGTTTTTAATTTTAAAAAATGGCGCCATTTTGTGTTTTTTTGAAAATAATTAATATCTCAAAATCCCTTAGAGGTATTTTTATAAAACTTGGTATAAACTTTAAGTCTACAGGTAGCTCATCAAATTTCAAAATGGCGGCCATTTAAAATTTGTTAAGTAAAATTCAATGAAAACCGGCCATTAAAACAAAATTTTTAATCGCCATTTTGAAATTTGTGGAGCCTGATCAAAGATATTTTTGGAGAATGTTTATACCTGTAGACTGAAAGTTTGTACCAAGTTTCATAAAATATCTCCAAGGATTTTTGAGTTATTAATTATTAAAAAGAAAATACAAAATGGCGGATTACGGCTAAACTAAGCCAAAATCAAAAAAAGTTATTCAACATTTTCGACTTATTTTTGCATGTAGAATCTGAATCTGCATAGCCCGCTATGCTTTACTGATACACCCGGTATATTTTATTATATATATTTTATTTATTGTATTCCCATAAAAGAAATCAAGAGGGAAACAATTAAAGAAGCTTATTTTAAAGGTAAATATGATGAAATTTATGTTTTGAAAATCATCATAAAAATAGGCCTAGTGCATTATCATAAAACTATACTTAGTCTTACAGTAGACTCCCTCTTATCCAGACACCTTTCAACCGGACATCGGTTTAACCAGACTACACTAAGCGGAAATGACAACTCTTTAACCAGACGATTTTTATCAGCACATTGGTTTAACCAGATCAGGCAGGAAGTGGGCAGTACTGAAACGACTATTCTCGAGGGAAAAATTTGAGACCAGTGATCTTGTGTCTAAATACAATGCTCTCCTAAATTAAAGCCGAGTTTTTGGGTACGTCGGTTTAATGGGAAAACCCATTATCCGGACTGGCCTTGGTCCCGAGGAGTCCGGATAAGAGGGAGTCTACTGTAGTTCATCAAACAGACCAAATTTATACATGTAAATCCTTGCTCATTTTCTGACTTTGGTGTCACCTACATCGTTATACTTGAGCTTGTATTACAAAAAAATCACTTTTGAAGCTCTATTGTAGAGGCCTATTAGTGAACTATATTTGTTTCAAAACTAGCAATGGGGAAAATTAAATAAGTTTTATAAAAATGAACAAACAATTTATTTACTAAATCATGAAATTACAAAACCTAAAGTGGTATCAACGTGAACCTGATCGGCAATGTAACTTGGTTTGTAAAATTAACAACAGTTGGAATAACAATCCTAAAAAATCATCAAAAAAGTAAGAACTAACAGAAATACATTTTAAGAAGTATATTGATCAGGATTTAGTTGAATCATCCTAGCAGTAAGTTTAAGGCCATTAAAAAAAAGACATAATAGAACGACAATTCCAAAAGTTATATAAATCAGTTATATTTATAGAAATGAGAAAACAAAATATACAAATAGTTAATGTACTGTAAACTGAAATAGTTAAAAGGATAATAAATTAACATACCAATCATGGAAATGCAATTTTACAAAGCATGCGTTTCTAACTATTTGAGGAGTTAGGATTCTTACCTCAATTTAATTTCTAAACTGGATTCGTGATAAAAGACTTACTTTTTATATTTAAAAAGACAAAAAGAAACATGACTCAAAATCAATGAAAATTCCTTATCTGTATTATTGAAAATGTCAACAATTACAAAAACAAATTTACAACTGAACTAAAGTATGAATGAAGATGGTGTTATATCTAATATCACTTTTCCGATACATGGTTTACTTCTCCGTTGGTCAAGGTTGGTCTAAGAGTCTTCTGGAGAACATGTGCATCCGCAGGTTCAATACGCTTGTAGTAGTGTTTCTTTGTTTCATGAATTTCAAATCCAAATTTCTTGTAAAATTCAATGGCCCCAGTGTTGTTTACTTGAACGTGTCTAAAACATTGTTGTACATCAAAAATACAATAGAAGATAAGCGTGAAAAAATTATACAGCAATAATAGACTAAACTGAGACCTTGATTTATTATCTAATCAGAACTAAGGAAAACGTACGTCCTTGAGGCATGAATAAAAATAATAGTCTAACCTCGGTATAACAAATCTCAAGGGACCGAACTAAATATTTGTTAGCTTATATCTAGGATTTCTTTAAAGGGAGGTTTGTTCACAAATAGCATCAGTCACTATAGCTCGAGGTTGGACCTCGTTAATAAAAAAGCACAGGCTACTGTATTGTAAAGTAGAACCTCTATTAGTCGTGGTAATATATATATATATATAGAGTATATATAGAGAAAACCACGGTTAATCCAACATGGTATAAATAAACGGTATCAGCAATCTGACACATACTTTCTCCCATTAGCTTGTCAACAACCTATATCATGGGTAAAAGGTGGGAGTAACTATAATATTTTATGGGGAAAATCACAAAAGTTGCAATAACTTTTGAACCGTAATTATTGTTACAGCAATGAGTGCTAGGTTACAATTTTTTTGTTTAGAATTATAAGGACCATAACACATTAATTTTAACCAAACAGGCTTTTTTCCTAAAATCCAACTTTTTGTTATTTTAAGGGGAGAATAATATAAAGTAATAATAACTTTTGAACCATAATTTTTACATAAATGGGATTTGTACCATTTTGCATAATTAATTTTTATTTAAATCGTTCGAGCCGTTTTTGAGAAAATCATATTTTCCGTTATTTTATTTTTCTGGAAAGGGTCAATCCATTTCAAATCATCCAGCAAAAAAAGAAAATGACACCCATGTTCTCAGATTCTAATGAGTTTTTTTTTGTGTTCCTTTTGCTATTCTAATTATTATGAATACCAAATTTCATTTTGATATCTTGAATACTATTAATTACTATTACTTAATTACTATTAAAAATCAAAATTTTGAAAAATGGAAAAAAACGCCTGGAGATATCATGCATTAGTTTCTACATACCAAATTTCATCAAAATTGGACAACAGGTGTGATTTGTAGCTCTGTTTACACATCCACAAACAAATACACACAGACATTATTTCGAAAACCACTTTTTTTGGGTTCAGGGGGGCCCAAAACGGATATATCCACTGAAAGAAAACTCAATCTCGAAAGTTTTTACGAAAACAATACTTTCTCCATATACTATGTAGGCCTATACAGTAGACTCCCTCTTATCCGGACACCTTTCAACCGGACATCGGTTTGACCTCGGTAGAAGTGACATCTCTTTATCCGGATAATTTTTATCAGCACATCGGTTTAACCAGACTAGATTGGCAGGAAGTGGGCGGTACTGAAACGACTGTTCTCGGGAGAAAGATTTGAGACTAGTGATTACGTGTCTAAATACAATGCTCTCCTAATTTAAGTCAAATACTGCATAGAGTATGCATTTAAACGGTCCGTTTTAACGAGATTTTGGGGACGTCAGTTTAACCGGAAAAACCGTTATCCGGACTGGCCTCGGTCCCGAGGAGTCCGTATAAGAGGGAGTCTACTGTTTAGGGGGAGAAAGTACAAAGATTATAAACCAATAAAAAACACTGCAATACTGTGTTTAAACAGCTGTAACAGTAATAACCCAGCTGCCTGGAGGTTTACCCACCGTTACTTTGGGTGATGTAGCTGAGGAATAAAACTCAGCACTTGCTTACAAAACCCAACATTATTAGTACAAAAAAAGAACACAAAGCTCAGTAACAATAAAAAAGGTTCAGTAGACTTAAACAGTAATAGGCCTACCAAATAATTTAGTTTACAACAGAAACAGCAATTTTGAAAACCCCCTAAGATTGCCTTACCAGGACCCAAGGCCAAGGGCAACATTAATGTTACGATTTACATTCTTTTTAACAGAATATTGTTTTTTTTTACCTTATCTTCTTAGGTTTCTCTTTATCCACAAATTCTCAAATATCTCAAGTCGCCATGTAGCCCAGTCAATAAAGGTTTTGTGTGGGAAGAAATTAGCAACAGGCAAGATTATATACCAATCGTTAGTATACAACTAGATGTATACATTTTTCCAAAAGTCCCAAAAAATCCCCCTGGGGCTTTCCCCCCACTCCCCTTGAAGTTAGGAATACAAATTTCAGAATATTAAATACTAAAAGTTTGGGCAGGGAAAAAATTCACAATTTATCTGCTGTCATCAGATATTCTGGGATTTATCTTAAATCTAAAGAAACCATCCATGAATGGACGATTTTTTCATGTTACTGCTAGAGAAGTTTTGGAGAAATCAAGAAACCCAATTTGCACATAGGCCTACCTATTTTCCAGATTTTACCGCAAAATTTACAGCTTACGTATATACTAAAGGCTAAATATAAACTTTACATTTCTGATCTCTTCACATGGATTGTAATTCAAATTTTCACCCATTCTTTTTGCATTTTCTCAATATTAGACCAAATTTAAACTCAAGATATACTCTATGTTCACCACTTACAGATAAATGTTGTCGTAGTTGCCATCTTTCTCCACATAGTTAAGAACATGTTGAACCATCATTGTTCCTATACCTAGTCTTCGGTAGGGTGATAAACATCCAAGGGTCATTATGTACAGTCTGCGAGCGTGATCGGAAGTGTCAATGCGACAGCACACAGCTCCCACAACAATGTCATTGTAGTAAGCTACAACAAAACCCAAGTAGTCTTGATTAGCTGCATACAGTCTAGGAATGGTAGAGATACAAAATCTTCTCAATCAAAATGTGAGAAAAGTCCTGGTAACAAAATCTGCTTAGCGTAAATATCTTTGATACAAAACTCACCTAGTTTAGCAAGTTCTCCCACTTCCAGGACATCTTTATAGAACTTTTCATTATATGACACAGGAAATACAACTGTATTTAGACGTTTAAGTTGTTTTATGTTGTGCTGTGTTACGTCACCCAGCTCAATTTTAGACCTAAAACAGAGATTATGATTTTAAAAATTCACTTAGGTAGGCCTACTAAAAAAGTAAGCCTAGATATTAAATATTTATGTTCAATCCTTATGCTGCTGATTGTTTTAAGAATAACTATCGTTCTACACTCTTTTAAGACTAGATTTATATCATGTTTATACAAAGTAATAGCCATGTGAATGTTTTAAGCTTGTTTTATATGAATATAATATAAGTTCAAATACATAAGAGTTAAAATCATTGGTTCGACATGATTTTGAGGTTAAAAGGAATTCCTAAAAATCACTGACACAAAAACTGTCTAAACCCTACCAGTTCATGATAAAAGGGTTACTACCACCTCTAACAGTAGGCTGTATTTGGACCTAAGTGGATAAAAGAAGTGAATGATAAACGAGGATATTGGGCGTTAGGTGAATGAGATATTGCAAAGAACTGGCAGCCAATGAAAACAACAGTTGTTTTGAATAGGCCTACATCCGTTCATTGTTCCTATACATCTGATAACATAGGTAATTTAGGTATCACAAATTGTGGTACCTACCAGAGGAACCAATGAACATTATGAATTAGCCTATATGCCTGCTGCCTGCTAAAGATCGTTTAAGGGCGTACATACTTTTTCATAAGCAAGAGGCTTAGGGCTGTCTACTGAAGATATGTAAATAATTCAATCCTGGAACTTGTGGAAGTTACAATGGGCCTAATGGCATTCGGTTCAATGACTAGGCGACTTACATGTTGTTGTTTACAATAGAACAGGGTTGCCACCCGCAGTGCGATGAAAAAGTTCATACAGAATTCATGGGTTTTATAGGTAGTTTAAATAATTCATGGTCAATGCGCTTGTATAATTTCAACACAAATATGAGTTTTGCTGATTCCAGTGTGGCTACATGGTTTTGCCATTAATTTGAATCTGCTAATTACTGTCTCAACTATACTTTAAATGTTAAAATTATCATATGATCAGCTGACTGTTTGTAAACTTTATATTTGATTTTATTGTAGTTCTTTCTTAATACAAAAGTGTTTCAATGTTATAATCTCTTCTTTTAATTAACTTATTTTGTGTTAGTATATTTATGTAAGGCACAAGCCTTATTTGGTGACCCCTTACTGTACTTTTTATTGTCATTAATTCAATTGGACCATAATGAATAATCAAGATTCTACTCCAACTCCTAGTACACCAGAGGCTTCACAAATCTCAACAATTCAAGTGAAAATTCCACCATTTTGGTCAAAAAATGTTTCACTTTGGTTTCATCAAATTGAATGTCAGTTTTCTCTTCATGGAATTTCAAAGGAAAGAACTAAATACAATTATGTAATGAGCTCACTGGACAATGAAGTTGCAAGTCACCTTTCGGATTTTATTACCAAACCTTTGTCTCAAACTCCCTACTCTGACTTAAAAGAAAGGCTCTGCTCAGAATACGAAATTTCAGAAAATGCCAAACTAAAACAACTGACAACAGAAGTTTTTCTCGGAGATAAGAAGCCGACAACTCTTCTTCGTGAAATGAGAACCTTAGCAGGCACACAGGTAACTGACAGTTTTTTGAAAGTTATTTTCCTACAACGTCTACCTAGTCACATTCGTACTGCTCTAGCTGCTTCTCAAACCAATTCTCTTGATGACTTAGCTAAATTAGGTGACCAAATAGCTGAACTATCAGCTGTCGACAACTACGTTTGTGCTCAAGGAGATGTTGCGCAATCTAGTGATCGGATTGCCAACTTAGAAAAACAAGTCAGCGAACTAACTCAGTCTATTGATGGACTTCTTAAGTTAAGTAAACGCAACTTCCCAGTCAAACATAAGAACAATTACTATCCTAAAGCGAGAAATGATCAAGGTGAAATTTGCTGGTATCATAACAAATTTGGTGAAAATGCTAAAAAATGTGTTCAACCTTGTTTGTTCACACCAAAAAAGAATGCACAACAGGAAAACTTCCTGCCCCGTCACTAAATGCGGCTCAGGATGACAGGGGCTTTCAATCTCGCCGCTTATTTGTAACCAACTTACCCTGTGGTCGTAAGTTTCTCGTGGATTCTGGAGCAGACATATCTGTTTTGCCTCTCACAAATAAAGACAAATGTGCTGTAAGTAATAGACAATTATATGCTGCCAATGGTTCTGTTATCAAAACGTACGGTAAACAAGACATAAAACTTGATCTAGGCTTGAAAAGAAAGTTTGTCTGGTCTTTCATAGTTGCAGACGTAACCCAACCCATAATTGGCGCAGATTTTTTATCACATTATGGTTTACTTGTTGATATCAAAAATAAAAGACTAATCGATAACAGGACTCAATTATCTGTTATTGGAATTCAAAAACTTTCAAATCAACAATCTGTATTGGTTCTTGACCCAAAAGGTAAATACTCAAAACTTATCAACCAATATCCTAATTTACTGAAAGAAAATCCTAATTTTCAAGTTTCACAGGACACAGTTTTTCACTCAATTCAGACAACAGGTCAGCCTGTGAACTTTAGAGCTAGACGTTTATCTCCAGAAACACTTGCGGTAGCTAAAAATGAGTTTCACAAGATGGTTGAGTTAGGCATTTGCAGACCTTCAAAAAGCTGTTGGTCCAGTCCACTTCATTTAGTTCCCAAAACTGATGGTACATGGAGACCTTGCGGGGATTACCGTGCCCTAAATGCAAAAACAGTTCCTGATAGATATCCTATACCTTATTTGCATGATTTTAACAGCCAGTTGAATGGAAAAACTATATTTTCTAAAATTGATCTTGTTCGGGCTTTTCATCACATTCCAGTAGCTCCTGATGACATTCCAAAAACTGCTGTCATAACGCCTTTTGGATTATTTGAATTTCTAAAAATGCCATTTGGATTAAGGAATGCTGCACAAACTTTCCAGAGATATATTAATTCTCTTTTGCATGATCTAGAGTTTACCTTTTGTTACTTAGATGATATTCTAGTAGCATCCTCCTCAGAAGATGAACATATTAATCACTTGCAAACTGTTTTTGATAGACTTAATAAGCATCACATTAATATTAATACGTCAAAGAGCGTATTTGGCGTGACTGAGATCTCTTTTCTTGGTTACACAGTTTCGAAACAAGGAATTTCTCCTCTTCCTGATAAAGTTGAAGCTATTGTTAGTTGCAAACTTCCTGAAACCATTCTTGAGCTTCGTAGATTCCTTGGACTTATAAACTTTTACAGAAGTTCACTTCCTAACGCAGCTGCTATTCAGCAACAACTATTTGATTTGTGTAAGGGTACACATAAGTCTGATAAACGAAAAATAATTTGGACTTCAGAATCTAAGAAAGCTTTTGAGGACGCAAAGGGCCAGCTAGTCAATGCCACACTTCTAGCACACCCATCTCCTGATGCTCCTTTAGCTCTCATGGTCGATGCATCAAACTTCGCTATAGGTTCGTCTCTCCACCAGATTTGTAATGGAAACTTTGAACCTCTTGGGTTTTTCTCTAAATCCCTTACAACAACTCAACAAAAATACAGTACCTATGACAGGGAACTCCTGGCTGCATACCTATCTGTGAAGCACTTCCGTTATCTCCTTGAAGGGCGAAGTTTTGTTATATATACAGATCACAAACCTCTATCTTTTGCCTTCAATAAACCCTCTGATACATCTAGTCCAAGGCAATTGCGTCATCTAGACTTCATTGGACAGTTCACTACCGACATAAGGTATCTTCCAGGAAAACAAAACATTCCTGCTGATTTCATGTCAAGAATAAGTGCTATTGACCTACCTTCATCTATATCATTTGAACAAATTTCTGAAACTCAATCTCAAGATGCTGAACTTAAAAACCTGAAGTACTCAAACACAACTTCTTTGATATTCAAAAATATTTTACTTCCTAATGGCTCAGAGCTGTGTTGTGACACAAGTACTGGAAAACTACGACCGTTTATTCCTCAGCAGTTCAGAAAACAGTTATTTGACTCCCTTCACAACCTGGCACATCCTGGAATCAAAGGATCTCTGGACCTTATTAAACAACGTTTTGTTTGGCCTTCCATGAATAAAGATGTCAGACTTTGGGCCAAAGCATGTGTAGCTTGCCAGAAATCAAAGGTTTGGAAACATACTACTTCTGAGATTGGAGCTTACAACAACATAAATGGACGTTTTTCTCACATTAATGTGGACATAGTTGGACCCTTGCCACCTTCTCAAGGATTTACGTACTTGTTAACTATCATAGACCGCTTTACACGATGGGTCGAAGCAACGCCTATCAAGGATATTACTGCTGGAACAGTTGCAGAAGCACTTCTTTCTACCTGGATTGCTAGATTTGGAGTTCCTCAAAACATTACTACAGATAGAGGAAGACAATTCGACTGCAATTTATTTCAGGAATTAACAAAACATCTCGGTATCCATCACATTAAAACTACAGCGTATCACCCTGAAGCTAATGGAAAGATCGAGAGATGGCACCGACATCTGAAATCTGCATTAACGGCTCAACTCACATCTAACTGGACACAGACGTTACCAATGGTTCTACTGGGACTAAGATCTTATATTATTCCAGAACACAACGTTACTGCTGCAGAAATGACACTAGGTCAGTCCATCAGACTGCCATGCGATCTTTTTCAAACTACAGAAGATACTCAACAAATGTCCCTGATTTAGTGTACAATCTGAAAAGAAAAATGAATGATCTCAAACCAATAGAAGCCAAATACCATTCTTCTAAGAAGGTCTTTGTTCATCCAGAATTAAGAACATCCAACCATGTTTTTGTTCGTCATGATTCATCCCGAAGACCGTTGCAAGCTGTCTATGATGGTCCTTACCAAGTGGTTTCGCGATCTGACAAGTGGTTTACTATTCTTACTCCACGAGGACCTACGTCGATTTCTATTGACCGACTCAAACCGGCATTCCTCCTTCAAGATTCTATGAACGGTACGACCATTAACGTAAGAAAAAATGACATGAAACCTAGAGAAACTCAAGTAGACAAGACCAAAGACAGAAATGAAGATGTTGACCTTAAAAAAACACTGATTTTTACAAGATCAGGTCGTAGTGTTCACCCCCCGCATCGTTACGTTCCTCGTTGACACTGGGAGGGGAGTATGTGGCTACATGGTTTTGCCATTAATTTGAATCTGCTAATTACTGTCTCAACTATACTTTAAATGTTAAAATTATCATATGATCAGCTGACTGTTTGTAAACTTTATATTTGATTTTATTGTAGTTCTTTCTTAATACAAAAGTGTTTCAATGTTATAATCTCTTCTTTTAATTAACTTATTTTGTGTTAGTATATTTATGTAAGGCACAAGCCTTACCAGAAATGTACGTGTAAAAGGCAGTTTCTTTGTTTTTTAGAATCGAATAACCTGTCATAGCCTATATGAGATACAACTAATTTAGAGTGATTCATCTATATGTATGGATTGTGGATAATTATAGGGATGCACTGTGGATGCGATGCTACCTGGTGTGGATTAACGTCCGCACTAGTGAGTACTACGACTATCCGCAGTACTATCCTAATAATTAGACCAATTCGTTAATTACGAGGAAAAAATGTGGTTCGGATTCCACTATAAACTGTAGGTACCTTAGTTGTCGTTAGCTGTATGGGCTATTAATTAACAGCTGTGTCTAAGGAATATGGTGGCCTTAGTCACTAACAAGACTACAAGATCGCGCCACTCATCCTTCACTCATATTTGGGTTAAAATACGCAAATAGTGGCGTCCCCATCTTAAATAATTGATAATTGATATAGGCCTACTTGCATTTATTAAAAAAGTGAAAAAAAAAACAGGTCAAGCTAACTTAGGCCTATTACAAATGCTATGAAATACTGGAGAAGAATTCAAAAAAATATTAAGTCTGATTCTGTCTTTCCACAACAATAAAACAAAAATCCCGCCCACCCAGCCAAAGAAATTCCCTTTAATTCACCCGCATTATGAATGTTATGAAAAATCCTGTATTATTCTGGATGAAAAATTGTATACGATGATTGGTTTTATACACAAGGCTAAAAATTAGGAGTCAGAGTCCAAAATTCCATGAAATTGCACATTTTGTTTCGATCCCGTGCAAGATCTAAGACTTCTGTTTTTGGGATATAAATTCCCATACTCCATAATAGATACCTAAGCTGGGTTAGGCTGCTATAGTTCGGCCGCTTAGAAAACGACCTGCGCGCTAATGCTAAACCAATGCTGGAGGAGGTCGCTTTCTAAGCGGCTGAACTATAATGATTTTCCAAACCATATGCAGTCGGAAGACTCAACTGACCTATAATTAATTAGAATGAATTATGCAACTTTTTCTAATCATGGAAGTTGTTAAAAATTATCTCCAGGCAGTATTCTCTTTATATTCATTTTTTAAATATGTGAAATATTTTTTTATTTGGTAAACTTAATGGTAGGCCTATTGGTAGAATAACATTCGGGATTTTGAAAACTCATGGTCCGATAGAGAAATTCATGTATATAAAACCCAACATGCCTTTTTTCATGGTCACAAGAACTCATGCATAATTCAAGCTTTTCACAATGGCCAGTGGCAACCCCTAAATTTGAATTTAAAAATGGATTTTTCAAATCAATTCATCTGAATGCACAATCTGAAACGGGACGTTTCAAAAATGGATTTTATTATAAACACAACCATTCCAAAACCAGAAATTCTCGCAATTACAAATCATTTATCATTATCTACTGGACAGACTTGATTCACAGACACAAGACAGCTTGATTCTACTACCAGACCAGTCATTTAGACATTAATAAAATCTTACAGACCTTTAAAAAGAGTATAGAGTACGGTAGCTCTAACTTCTAGACGAGACTTGTGTGAAACCAAGGCCAGCTTTAACTACCTCTGTGGGGGAAATAGGCTCAAAATTTATTGTGGCGTTACGTTAAAGCAGGACAATAAGCCCAAGTAGGCCTACAGTTAAACTTAAACGTGGGAGTGTCATCTGATAAGGATAACTTATGTTGGTACCCTAACTCAAATAAGTTATGGGTAAGTTACCAATTAAATGCTGTTTTACTTTACTTGATAACCTGTGGTAGAAACAAAAGGGCCATAACTTATGTGACAAAGGAGATGGTTCGAAATTTTGTGACATTAAAACAGGATAGGCCCAACTATCCTGCTGCTATTTAGGCCTAGGCTATACTTAAGTTGTCACCTGGGGAAGGACATTTTCTGAAAGGAAATATCTAGAAAACTCCTTTCAGGGATTGCTCCAAAACACACTAAGGCTACAACTCAACAACAAAGCTATTCAAACGTTTAGCTATGGACTTAGATGTAGGAATTATAAATTTAAATGAAAATCATATCATCACTAGTTACAAATAAACATAACCTCGATTTGGAATATTGAAAAAAGGCAAAGCTTACCTGGTCATATCTTCAGGAAATTGAAATCTAACTACAAAATATGGTGTTTCGGTTTAATTTTTGATTAATATCAGGTTTCGAATAATCCCAGTCTGATATGCAATTTAAATTTGTAATTGAAATTCATCAAACATGATTCACATTTCACAGTTTGGATCGGATCGGAGACAGAAGAGACCATTTTTATCTTTTTCTTTTCAGGATTTACTGACTAGCCAACTTATAAAATATCAAGCAAAGTCATACAAAGAAAAGTGGTATATCTTGGATTATTATTCAGTAACTCATGTTTAATCTGTGTTTTACGACGGCGCTGAAAGGCCACCAACTATAAAAAAAATATTTTTCTTAATCTCTGAGAAAAAACTTAGAATTCTGAGTTTAAAGTCAGAATATAACAAGTGGGCGTTCCACTCTGAGATTAAAGTCAGAATTCAACTAGTGGGCGTTCTCCTCTGAGATTAAAGTCAGAATTTAACAAGTGGGCGTTCCTCTCGGTTAAAGGAGTTATAATTCTGAGATCAAAGTCAGAATTGAATTGTGGGCGTTCATCTCTGAGATTAACGTAAGAATGCGGCCACCAATGCGGCCGTGCTACTATACTCTACTGTACATACAACTTAACTTGTAACTTGTAATTTCCATTAGATTTGCATTGGGCGATCAGCTGATTTACTAATAATATTAGTTTGTACTTTATTATGTAATGGGCCCACTGAGCTAAAATTATAACTGGAGGTAGCACTGCCATTGCAGAAGTCTGTCAAAAGCGTGTCGCTGATTTTGTTAGGTTGGTATAGCAGCAGGTTTTTTCATCCAATAACATGGCTTCTATAACTAGGTTTGCATAGCAGTGAGTTTTTTCATCCAATAACATGGCTTCATTTTAACTCACACCTCACGCAAACATGGCGGCTGGCGACACGCATCTTTGACATTCAGTGCTACCTCCAGTTAGAATTATAGCTCAGTGAATGGGCCCCAGGCCGCGGCCTGGTAGAATTGGCAACGTTGCAAGTAGAAGAACACAGTAGAATAGACAACAGAAATGATATTTATATTATTTCTTTTGTCTAAGATAGTAGGGATGATAGCATCGATATGCTGATAATATCGTTGCAATAAGAGAGGAACGCCAACAGTTCAATTCTGACTTAAGAGTTGAATGCCCACTATAGTTCGGCCGCTTAGAAAACGACCTGCGCGCTAATGCTAAACCAATGCTGGAGGAGGTCGCTTTCTAAGCGGCCGAACTATAGTTATATTCTGACTTTTTTCCCAGAGAGGAACGCCCACAATTCAATTCTGACTTTAATCTCAGAATTCTAACTCCTTTCACAGAGAGGAATGCCCACTTGTTAAATTCTGACTTTAATCTCAGAGGGGAACGCCCACTAGTTGAATTCTGACTTTAATCTCAGAGTGGAACGCCCACATGTTATATTCTGACTTTAAACTCAGAATTCTAAGTTTTTTCTCAGAGATTAAGAAAAATATTTTGTTATAGTTGGTGGCCCTTCAGCGCCGTCGTAGTGTTTGTATAGAGAGAGAGAATCTTTATTATATAAGCGTAGAGCTTAGAAATGGTGTCAACAATAAGAACAAATCTGGAAATATACATAGATGTTTCAGAAAATATATATATTTCATCAGTCTTTTTCACAGAGGGTATAGAACTCTTCCATGTTGTAGATGGGATTATCTATCAGCCAGGTAAAGTAGTTTTTTTTCAATGTCTTTGCATTGCCGGTCTTGTCTTGATTGTTGTCGAAAGAAGATTGTAGAGCCTGGCTCCTGCGTAAGATGGCTTCTTCGCATATCTGGTAGTTCTGTGTAGGGGCAAATTGAAATTTGCAGCGTTCCTTGTGTAATGCAAGTGTATATTTGCATTTCTAGGAGTGCCTTGGTTGAGGGCAAAATTGACGACCTCAGAGATGTATATTTGGCGATTATAGTTGGAATTTTCAGCATTCTGAAGACATCCCTGCAGCTATCATCTTGCTGGAGGCCACAAAAAACTCTCACGGAACGCTTTTGCAATTTCAGGACACGGCTGGACAATGGACATTCTGCTTGGAAGAGTTCCCCCAAAGCACTATTCCATACCTGAAAAGCGTCTCAAAAAGTGCATGGTATGCTACACGTGTTGTGGCTGAAGAGGTTACTTTGTGGAGACGTCTCAACGCAAATAGCGATGAGCTGAGCCGCTGGCAAAGGGAATTGATGTGGGCATTCCAACGAAGGTCGTTATCTAGAATGAGTCCAAGATGTTTGGTGGTGTCCGCCACTTGGATATAGTTGGAGGACTTGAAACGGCATCTTTGAATTTCCCAAAGAAGAGTTGCTGAGTTTTACTCTCGTTGAAGACTAAGTCGTTATTTGCGCAGTAATCCATAGCTTGATTGATTGCGATGAAGTTGTCGACATCCAGACACTCAGGATGCTCCCTGCTGGTCAAGAGAACAGAGTCATCTGCAAAAATGACTGTGTGGCAGTGGGGCTCCATAACTGAAGGTAGATCGGCAGCAATTCGGAATACAGTTCTTTAATAACCATAGTATTTTTATATGAAATGTTGATACCAAACTCCATTGTTATACAAACGAAAATTATTGGCATTTTCAATCGTATCTATCCCAATGAAATAGCTCAGTTTGGCCAACCACGTTACACTTAATTAAGAGTTTAAACAATTTATTTCAAATAGCTTCGTCAGAGATTCAAAGGGAGACCAGTCTAACCAGGCCGCGGAGTTAAAGGTGGCCGTGATTCAGCCATATTTTGTAAGGTAATTAACTAACCACGGCCACCTTTAACTACAGGCCGCGGCCTGGTAGAATTGGCAACGTCGCAAGTGGCCGTTGTTTAGTGACAGACGTCCCATATAAGATAACATATCAGACAGGTGACATCAGCTTATTAATTATTCGCACTTTATTGATTTAAATTTATGAACATAAATTTATTAAAATATTGAAGAAAAAAACATACAGAATGAAAAACCGAAACAATATGAATAAGTGGAGTAAATATTGTCATAGTCCAGTAACCAAGCTTAAGGGGAGATGCCCACTTTTTAGATTTAATGCATTTTATATGGGTAAACATCGTGTTGCTTAGGTACCATTTAAGAAAGAACCCTTTTAGCTATGCATATCAAATTTTAACTACTTATTTGTATTGACATTTAAGACAAACTGTACTAATTTAAATATGTTCTACCGAAAAAATCATATTTTATCAAAATTTTTAAAATATATAATTTTTTCACTATTTTACAAATATTAATTAATTTTATTGTTAATGTTTTTTTAGACATAGAAGCAAACTTTTAGTACACTTTGTGGGCCATGATGTCCTAAGTAACAGAAAAAAATTTGAAGTCAGTGGTACTTATAGTAGTCTGGAAAATGGTACCTAAACATTAAAAAACACAGTTTCGGAAAAACTCATTTAAAGTCAAGCCTAGGCCTACCCTATGCCACATTATTCCTCATCACAAACAGCACTATTATTATATACACATATGTTATGAAGAAAGAAAAACAAACAAAAAAAGATTTTTGTTGACTATTCAACCTAGCAACAACATTTATTCAGTGCAACCATTCAACAAAATTAAATTTCTAACATAAATTTAGTTGACGCTAATTCAGCCCATTGTGACTAAAACCGAGTGTGTAGTACTATTTATATAATTTTTTATGATTGTTAGACTGTAGTAAATATATTAAAATTATATATTTTCTGAATCAGGAAAAGATGAAGAATTTTTCAATTCAATAAACAAAAAATTAATTTTTTGACCGAAAAACTGGGCATCTCCCCTTAAGTAAATACACAAATACCATTAGCTGCTTCCAAACAGCTGTTACTACTTGCGACGTTGCCACTCCTAAGGCCGCGGCCTGGAGCTAAAGGCGGCCGTGTAACTAACACGAAGTTTTAGATAATGATCTGAGCTATGACGTGAGTTACGTAACACAGATTATGTAAACTTAACGTAGGGCCTATGTTATTTTAGAGTAAGCAGATCAAAATAGTTGAAATCAACCTTATTTAAACAGACTAATAATAATTTATAATCAGTAATTAAATAATAATAATCAAAACGGCTAATGTGAGTGTTTAATGTTTGCTTTGGGAAAAATACTCAGAAGTATTTAAATTTTAAACAATTAATTAATTAAATTATTAAATTAATTAATTAAATTATTAAATTAAATTATTAAATTAATTAATTAAATTATAAATTAATTAATTAAATTATTAAAATAATTAATTAAATCAAATTAATTAAATTACATTATACAAGAATGTGTATTATTGATGGTAAAATTCTTCGTAGTGTTTGAGAACTGTCTGATGCACTACTGTATTGTTCAACATTACGTCTTAAAATCAAAGGGATTCCATTAATCTGTAGTTTTATGTATAAACTAGCAACAGAGCCCGTTGTAGTTAAATACAACGGTCCCTAGAAAGTACAGTAGTACATAATATATGCCCTTGTAAGTACCTGAACATTTTTTAAAGAATGAAATTGTTTAGAAAATAAACTGATTTTCTAAAAGAGTAAAATAATGAAAAACAAATAAAATTTTACAAAAATATTTTATTTACAGTATTTCTTTGTAAACAACATTCTTTGTAAAGACTTCATCTGATTGTTTTAATAATCTTCCTTGTTCTTTGCCAGGGATAATTTTAATTTTTATGTCTTCAAACCTTTCAACCCTTGATATTGCAACATACAATTGTCCATGGCTGAATACTGGTGCTGGAAGGTATATCCCAACCCAACTTTATCCAATGTCTGGCCTTGCGCTATGTTTATTGTAATAGCAAACGCTAATTTTAAAGGGAATTGCCGTCTTTTTAAAACAAATGGTAAATCTGTGTCCGTCTGTGCTAAGTCAATCCTTGGAATGAATACAATTTCACGTGCTGCTGATCCAGTTAAAACCTCTGCAATTATTAAATTGGGCTTCTATTAACTATTAAAATTGGGAACTATTAAAAGTTCTTTAACAATTAATTGTGTGCCATTACATAACCCCCGATTTGTGTTAAGATTTCGTAGCAACATTATTACAGCTCCAATTTTTAAATTTAATTTGTGTATTGGCATTCCCAATACACAAATTAAGGAGGTTGAGGAAGTTGCATCATCTCTGAGTGAAGTGTTGGTCAGACTATATTGTTCTGTTTCTTTTTCATTTTCTGGGTCTCCATCCTTTTGATTGCTTGATAAACACTCTTTTACCCCTTGGAGTAAATCTTTATCTATACTATAATTTGGTTTCTTCAATTTATTTTTATGAGCTGTTGATTCACGTCTGCCAGAACATGTTTTACTTTTTCTATTTTTTGATGCACGGCCACGTTTTGATTTTGGTAAGATTATATCCTCTTGATTCTCAGGCATACTATTGTTCTATTAAAACATCGTAATGCCCAGCATCCACATTTCCTGAGAATCGTAGTTTATAGATCGTTGTGCCTTCACCAACCGTTACAAAATCATCCAATTTCTCAGCATATATTTTAAATTGGCAGTAAAAAACTCTTGCTGCAGCTTCGATTTTGACATTACCGGCGTATTCCCCATCTTTGGTCATCAAATTTCTGTATTCCGTCGCGTTTTTTACTTCTAGTCTATATGTCTTATCCCCTACGATCAAAGGACAATAGTAGTCCCAGTTATTGACGACTTCATCAACTACCGTGGATCGTATATCACTGTATCTGGATTGAGATTTATGGCATAAAAATGAGACACCAACCATGTAGTGAAGAGTAAAGTTATTCATTTTTCAACTAATGTAAAATATTTAGTTTATAATTAACAGTTCAAAATAACGAATATTAAATACTATTTTAAACTGTGAATTATAAATTAAATTTGAATAATTTATAATTGACAGTTTAAAATTATTATTTTTGGTTATGAAATCCATACATCACTTAACTTACCAATACTTATTAATGGTACAGATTAAAAACATCACTTTAGAAACACACTTTACGGACCTCAACCACCAATTCAAATAGTAAACAACTAAATGTAAACAAAGAAAAATCAAGGAAATAACAATAAAACAATCAGCTGTTAAACTATAGGTTAATACATGTGTTCCATATGATCAGATGATGCATACTGGCTAACCCATTATTACTACCATAAAGATTTTTAGATTATTCATACCGACAAACGTATTACTACCATAAATAAATAAAACTCAAACTTTACTAATTATTTGGAAATCTACACAGATTTTATTGACCTATTAATTAATAAAATCGGTCCAGTAGAACTGTAGATTTAGTTGTAAAAAGTTAACAAAAATCTCTCTAATTCAATATTTTCTCACCACAATAAATTAGGAGGTTGCTAAGCTTTTTTGCAAATAACTTTTAAATGGTGAGGAAATCGACCAAAGTGGAAGGTGATATTCTGAAAGAGAATAAAATTTTCTACAAAGTACTCTTCGGCGTTTTTTGAAAATATTCAAAAAAGGCAACCTAAAGTTAACTATAAATTGAAATTTTAAAATATTAACTATAAAAAAAACAGTTTTTAATGTATTTTTGCTTTTTATTCTTTATTCACCACAAATATTTAATAAAATCTAACTTTCATAATTATTTGCAAATCTACACAAATTAGGCTTTCAAACAATACATTAGTTAACAAAATCGGTCCAGTAGAAGTCTAGATTTAGTTGTACAAAGTTTAACAAAAATATCCCTAATTCAGTATTTTTAACAACTAAAAATTTGGAGGTCACTTATCTAATTTGACAATAACTTTTAAATGGTGAGTAAATCGTAGAAAATGCACTTGATATTCTGAAAGAAGATAAAATTTCCTACAAATACCTTCTGTGTATTTCTTGAAATTATTTAATAAAGGCAGCCAAAAGCTAGCTACAAAAATAAACTTGAAAATAAAAACCTGAAAAAACAGTTTTTAATGTATTTTTGTTATTTTTATTTTTCCACCACAAATATTAAATAAAATCATCTTTTCATAATTATTTGCAAATCTACATGAGTAAGGCTTTCCAATGACTCATTAATTAACAAAATCGGTCCGGTAGAAGTCTAGATTTAGTTGTACAAAGTTTAACAAAAATATCCCAAACTCAATATTTTCTCATTATTATAAATTCGGAGGCTGCTTAGCTTTTTTGCAAATAACTTTTTAATGGTGAGGAAATCGACCAAAGTGGAAGGTGATATTCTGAAAGAGAATAAAATTTCCTACAAATTGATACCATACACTTCTTGGAAACACTAAAAAAGGCAGCTAAAAGTCGCACCCAAATAAAAAGTGTGAAAAACACAGTTTTCAGTGTATTTCTTATGGAAAACATGTTTTTTTGAAAATTTTCACCATATACCATAATAAAAACAAACTTTCATAATTATTTGCAAATCTACACGACCTAAGCTTTCCAACGACCCATTAATTAATAAAATCGGTCCAGTAGAACTCTAGATTTAGTTGTACAAAGATTTTTAAAACTGAATTATATATAGAATAGATATAAGTACGTTTATATTTATGTACCCATAAACGAATGGGTTTTCCTCTTTGTTCGTATCTAATCGGTTGATTTAGTAGTCAAGTAAGCACTTAAGCCATTTACTTGTCGATGAAATAATTGTAATTCTATGAAAACCCCTCTTTACCAACTAATTAAAAAGTTGATAAAATGTCTTTAATCAATTTGAAGGTTGTATTGTATCAACATTTTTTTAGTGGGCAATAAAAATGTTTTTATTAAGTGTACATAGTTTGGTGTTTGTATTTGTCACGCGTAGTGTCAAGTGTCAGCTGACAAGTCTCGTGATATCAGCTGGGTGTTGGGTGAGGTAGCTACATTGTCTGCATGTAAGTATTTTGGAGTTTTTACTTAATTTTGGGTTTGCAAATCTTACGTAAATTGCTGTATAATGATTATATTTTGTAAGCGTTAAAATAAAATCAAATGCCCAACCACATGCTATGAAAATTTACACCCAAAATGCACAACTTATTAACTCGCTCCAGGGAACTTGTAGACTAGGACAAGAACAGTTTTCGTTTTCTGCGAATGCTGTTCCTTCAATTTTATACAGATTATTCTAATAAACCAGAGATTCCATTACATTTTATTGGTTGCACGTAATTAAAGTGATGATTTGCATTATTTAATAGGGCAAACTGTGATAGTCAAGTCCTATTCAGTAACCTAGGAACTAGGCTGTGTGTTGGTTATTAGTTCCCTTTTTATTAGTAACTAGCTGTCCCGACAGACGTCGTCCTGTCTTAATGTGGTTTTATGTCAAATGCTTGTTCATTTTCAAGATCCTGGTTGAAGTTCGTTCGCTACGCTCACTCACCTTTAGGTTGGAGCTCGTTCGCTGCCCTCACTTGCCTTCAGGTTAGCTTGTTCGCTACGCTAACTCGCCTCCAGGTTGAAGTTTGTTCGCTACGCTCACTCACCTTTTGGTTGCAAATTAGCTGTTGTCATGAATTAAGAAAAAGATAACGCTGCACCCTGTTGGTAAACCTATTACCTTTTTAATGCTATTGAACATCACAGAATATAATTGCTGAGCTGAACCAGCTGTTAAGATTTTTTAATTCCATTTAAATATGAGTACTCATAAGGTTAACATGGGAAACTCCAGAGCCACGGGGGCGGAGCCCTTTTGACGGATCTGCACCAAACTTCACACAAACCATCCTTGAATAGGCTAATGCTTAATAATGCCTGAAAGTTTCATTACAATCTGTCGAGCGGTTTCGAAGTCCATAAAGGACAAACAAACATACATACAAACAAACATACATTGGATTTGATATATATGTAGATTCAAGGGCTAACACTTAGCTTCACATTAAACTCACTTACTTACTAACCTTTATATTTTTTTCAACTATTATCGGATTTTGTAAGCTATGCTGTCTATGAATTCAGTCGCCTAGCGTTACTTAGACGATAGTCAATTAATTCTTTTAGTCTAACCGGTAGCCTAATTATTGTTACCCTATCCTGATGCTGTCTTAACAGCGTAGGCCTATTCTATTCATAAGACCTGGACTAGTGTCCTTCTGTGCTCTATTTTCAATTATTTGATTGTAGGCCTAAGTTTAATGTTGTATATTTTTAGACATATCTTGAGACATATTTATCAGTGGCGAAAATTAACGGTATAAGTTTATTTGGATTCAAGAGGTAAAAAACTATAAGTTAAAGTTAGACATCAAAATTAAAAATTCATTTGGAGGCACCTATCTATATATTTAAGCTATAAAGTCCAATGTAGCCTATGTTTGTTTGTTTGTTTGTTTGTCCTTTATGGACTCCGAAACCGCTCGACAGATTGTAATGAAACTTACAGGCATTATTAAGCATTACTCAAGGTTGGTTTGTATGAAGTTTCAAGATGCAGATCCGTCAAAAGGGCTCCGCCGCAGTGGCTCTGGAGTTTCTCATGTTAACCTTATGAGTAGGCCTACTCATATTTAAATGGAATTAAAGAATCTTAACAGCTCGAGCTGGTTCACTAAACAATTTGATTCTGTGATGTTCGATAGCAAAGTTGATAGGTATACCAACAGAGTGCAGTACTATTATTTTTTTAAATTTTAATTTATGACAACAGCTAATTTGCAACCATAAGGTGAGTGAGCGTAGCGAACGAACATCAACTGGAGGCGAGTTAGCGCAGCGAACGAGCTAAACCTGAAGGCAAGTGAGTGCAGCGAACGAGCTCCAAACTAAATGTGAGTAAGCGTAGCGAACGAACTTCAACCAGGTCGTGATTGAGCCATGCGAACGAGCTCTCTTGAAAATGAACGAGCATTTGACATAAAACCACATTAGGACAGGACGACGTCTGTTGGGCCAGCTAGTAGGCTACTAAATAATTACCGGCAATGAAACATTAGTTATTAGCCTATATGACTTGGTAAGTAATAGAGGAAAGAGCACAGCTTGATGTTGGTTAACATTTTCCTGAATTGATGTTTGAAACTTACCTATAATTAATTAAAGAAGCATGGTTGTACTATCATCCAGGTCATAACTTAGCCTAGCTGGAAGATGCTTCAATCGAGACCTTCTTTTTCGGTAGGACAGGTTTACTAAAAAGGTCGCCGATTCGATCCTGATAAAGGTTAGTAGCTTTTTGACACCTCGAAACTGGACCCAGTTGTCCCTAGTCATTGGGCTTTAAATAAATAATCCTGGCTGATGAAACATCTAGGTATAATCTAAGTCAGTAACAAAGCTACACAGATCATCTCACAACATCTTCACACATAGGCTATTTGGGTTTAAATATGTATCTAGATGGCGTTCCCATCTCATAATTATAACAATTGTTGCATGCTTTCTGTCTTTATATACCTAAATTTTTCCAAACGTCTTTTACGTTGTAACATAACAAAAATAAACATTTCTCAAAATATTTCAGGACTCCAACATCCCTAACTTTAGTTAGGGTAGCTATTTGTAATCAATTACCATTTTCTGTGTTTAAGTTAGTGAAAGGAAAGCAGACAAAAAATACCCCCGCTGCAGCAAACCTGCCGACTAAGCGAATTTCTATTTTGTCTGAATTGATTTTCAATTCTAGGTAAATCTATTTAAATAACATTAGGTCTAACGAGTACCTAGGTTTGCTGCTACAAGGAGTTTAATAAAGTGTATTTTGTAGTAAAATATTAATAGCTTAGTACAAAATAAATATATTTGCCAAGTTTAAATTATTATTTTTTTAAGCTCTACAAAATGGTTTGGAAAGAAATTGTGAAATTTTGTTTTTTTAGGGTCATAAATGGGAAAAACCTATTTTTACCTCCTAAAACCCTTATAAACCCCCATTCCCATAGTCCAATCATGCTGGTTCGCGAACTCGTTTGAATAAATGTAGGTTTACACGTTTGTACCAAATTTTGGAGTTATCGCGCTAACCGACACATAGATATAAATACATTTTTTGATAGTTCTGTTCACTTTTTAGGGCTTCTTTTTCAATTAATGAGCAAAATAATAAAAACCAGAGTACCCTGAAATTCATTTTTTATTTAAACTGATACGTATTTAGGCACTAAGGCACGAACTTCAACCAGGTCGTGATTGAGCCATGCGAACGAGCTCTCTTGAAAATGAACGAGCATGCACATCATTCCCCTTTTACAAATCAAGCATAAGCAGGGTTGCCACCAGCCATGAAAACCTTGAAAAGCTTGAATTATGCATGAATTCTTGTGACCATGAAAAAAGGCATGGATTATGCATGGATTTCTCCAATGGACCATGAATTTTCAAAATCAACAATTATTCAACCAATACCATTAAAATTTCCAAATAAAAAATATTTCATATTTACAGTTCATAGAAACGAACACTATTAAAATAATGTTACGAGATGATTATTTAACATGTTCCACGATCAGGAAACAATTGCTTGGTTCATTCCAAGTCATCCAAAGATGCTGATGTCAGCTGAGACTTCTCGAGGACTGAATATGGTTCGAAAAATCATTAGTAGGCCTAACCCCGTGTATGAAAAAGGGGTACAGGGACTTAAATCACAAAAACAGAAGTTTTAGACCATGCACGGAATTGAAACGGGGGTGCACAATAAAACCGAATTACAGACTCTGATACCTGTTTTTTTTTAGCTTTTTGGATAAAACCATCATATCTTAGTACGTTGTGGAATAAGATAGGCCTGAATCAGAATGCACAGTTTTATGACAATTATGTAGGGGGATAAAACAGGACTTTTTTTGGCTGAGTGAGTGGGATTTTTGTTTTATTCCGGTGAAAAGACTGAATTAGACCTAGACTAATATATTTTACAATTCTTCTCCAATATCTCAGCTTGACCAGTTTTGTTTTCAACTTTGTTTTGAATGTTAATAAATCACTCTAAAAAAGTTGTATATTAAGCAAGTATGAAAGGTTATTCTAAAGTAACACACAAAGAAACTGCCTCTTTAACGTCAGTTTATGAAATCAGCAAAACTTATCGACCATGAATTTTTTTAAACTACCAATGAAAACCATGAATTCTGCATGAATTTTATCATCCCACTATGGTGGCAACCCTGATAAGGTACTTATTGATTACAAAGTTTACCAACATCAACCATGATTAAATGTAAATCATGATTTGTTTTAAATCATAATTTGTTTACATACTTTTTTATAGCTCATACTGTGATCATGGCCTTAGTGCCGAAATAGGTATCAGTTTAAATAAAAAATGAATTTCAGGGTACTCTGGTTTAAATTATTTTGCTCATTAATATAAATATATGAATTTGAACGGATGGTGTTTTTGTCCTCTAGGGACCTCAAAACAAAAAAGTAAATTGGTCCAGGACCCAGGTCTTACCATGAGTACTACGGAATAGCTTATTCCCTATATGGGAAATTCGCTAAAAAGATAGTAAGTGGTGATCGATTTCGATTGGACACTCCAATCAGACCCAATAGGCGAATGACAAGAATCTTGAATGACGTCCCTACTTATATCCTATTGGCTACTGGAAGCACCGGTCAGTTCATTTTTATAAGTAGGCCCTACAACGGGAGTTGAAATTTACTTGTTCATTAATCAGCTTATTTATATTTTTACATTTTCCCTTATTAATATACAATTCTTCCCAATCATTCATTACATATCCTTTCTTACAATTCTTCAAAATACATAGATTATCCTCCATTTTTCCTATTGAGTGTCCATTTTGTAACAGGTGTTTTGCGACATTTGATCTTTCCGGTTTGTTGTTCCTCCATGCAGATATGTGGTTTTTGAAGCGGTTGATGAAGTTCACAGTCTGTCCAATGTATAAGTTATCACAATCGTTACAATTATTGATTTTATAGATGCCCGAAGCGTAGAATTTGTTACAATCTTCTATTTTTGAATGCAGTATATTACTCATGGTGTTCTGAGTCCTGTAAGCTATTGAAACTCTGTATTTCTTGAATCTGTTAGCAGTCCTTTGTGTTGTAGTCCCGTGTAGCTAAATGTGACATATCTGGTGTTTTCCTCTTTTATATCTTCTAATGTTGTTCTGCTGTGTAGTTTAATCTGGCTATTGAATTTTTTCCTCGTCTTTCTTGCGATGTCCTCTATTGTCTTGGTTCGAAATCCATTAACTTGTGCGATCTTCTTAATGGGGTCCAGTTCTTTCTTCCTATTGGCTTGGCTAAGTGGGATCTTATATGCTAGGTACAGCGTGGATCTAAATGCTGCGGTCTTGTGGATTACACTTTACATTCTTTGCCAGCCTAAATCTGGGGGCATTTAGGCAGTCTTTATTTTTCTTGTGTTACAGTATACGCCTACTCGTGTAGGCCTATATCAACAATATTCATCCATAACAAGAGATAAATAATGATTTAAGAATTTAAAATGTGGATTTAAAGTTTTTAAATTTGACTGATTCGTAGTTTGTTTTGTCAAATATAACATGTAGTAATATTTAACATTAACAAGATCACAATTAAAAACAATTATTGAAAAAGATAAATTACTATAACAATATATAATTATATTAAAAAATGGATAGATTGTGGGGAACAAGCTGCAGTCAGTCATCCTAACACAGCCTTAACACCCATAATAGGCTACAACCGAAACAGTAGTATCTACTAGGCTAATTAATAAGTATATTTGTCAAGAGAAAAAAACTGAAAAATCTCACTAGAGGGTGCCATAACAGAACTGAATCACTGTAAGAACAAAATAGGGCATAACTTAGTAAGAAAAAAAATTAATTGTAACTGAAACTTTGAACCACTAAACATCTTGAAAACCCACGTAGTCTTACACTGCCCACAATTATATTCAGCGGTGCAGTTTGACTTCCTAAGGGTGAAAACATAGTGGAGTGGAGAGGCTAGATTGTAGCGGAGAGCGAAGCTAAGAGTTTTTTTTACCCCTGATGGTAGCAGAGCTGCACATGCACATAGTGGAGCGGCGACGGTAGCGAGTCAAGAGGCTGAAGTACAGTACTTTTGAATGTACTTTAAAACTGATTCATCTATCATGAGGATCAAATTTACTAATTTTGTAAATGAATGAATGAATGGTGAAAATGGAAAACACAGCAAAGCGGTCATCATTGAACAACTGCCTACTGTACATATTTAAAATAATAACAATTGTAAGATATATTTTTTAGAAGCTTCTAATCGTTGTATAAAATAGTAAAAAAAACTCTTTAAAGGATCAATTGTATATTAAATATGTCACTTTATGAGAAAACTGTACCTTTTGACAAGAATAATTACACAATATCATTTCATGAATTGTAATAAAATTATTCCTTGTCCCAAACAGGGATTCACGAACTGACGATATAAAACCACATTTTATAGTCGGTTTGACTACTGAGGCTCGACCCTCGACCAAACCCTCGAGGTAAAGAAATCGGGATAGAATTTCGGAGTGGAGATGCTAGAGTGTTGGCACGGGTACCCACTACGCTCCCCGTTCCACTATGTTTTGACGTACATGTATGATCTTAAACCCGCTTAGCTACGCATTCCGCTACACTCTAGCCTCGCCGCCCCATTATGTTTTCACCCTAAAAAACCAAAACATGTGGTTGGTAGCTCCCCCACAGGAAGGATTTTTAAGACATGGTTTATGCAATTAGTTTAATATTATTTCTGTATGGGCAAAGTTTTTCCCATCTAACAAATGACCATCTTAATTTAATTAAAAAATGAAAATTATCAAAAACTTACATTTCCTAGCTCACGTCAGCTGCGGGAAGGTATTTGAAATTGATTCTCAGGCTCACTAGAGTTCACACCAACTGATCTTCAGGAGTAAAGTGAAGCATAGAGATTGTCTGCAGTAGACCTAGCTAAAACTGGCTCCACTATTAAGCCAGTTACCGCTGCTATAACAGAACAATGAAAATGTTAACTTATTTGTCACCAACTGCACAGTAGTTGTAATTAGAGTGAGGGAAAAAATTAAATGTTTAGCTTTGGGGCAGCTCCCCTGTAAATACGCTTTTGCCTATGATAACAGTAAAAACCCATTTATCTTAGGAATTAAATGTTCTGTAAATCAAATTTATTTTGTTAAAATATTTAAATGACCTGTTTTTTACCTGTACTACCTATTTTATTAAAATTGATATGAAGACTTGAAGTATTTTCCCTATCACATAAATTTTTTAAGACGAGTTCTTACAAATGCCCATCTATATTCATATTTGTGAATCCATATTCTGAGAATTAGTTCTTCCCTAAATTTATAACTAGGCCAAGGCCTACTCTGTTTTATTACATTAACCGATTTTCATTACATTAACCATATGCACATGGGACCATAGGAAAAATCCATTTATCCATTTCTATTCATAAAAAAATGTTTTGACAGGAATAGGAACACTAGAAGCATTGATTATACAAGCTAAAACTGATCTGACCATTGTAGTAGTGCCGTCTTTTTCTGGTGATATGTGATGAATACAATGGTTGGCTGTGTGCCTGTTGTACCAGTGCCAGTGGCCACTACAAACTGGTCTGATCCACATCATCAATTGATGAAATCAACCTCCAAACCCGAGCAATGTCACTTTCTTTTGCTAATAACAAAAACAAATAAATCTTTTGAGGCTTATCAACTTGTTAAAACACGTGTACGGATTAGTCCTTTTGTTATATAAGAGCTATATGATGGTAAACAATATCAAGGGATTTTCACTTTTCTGTTTTAGATTCAAGTAAAAGACAGAAATCAAAATGTCAAACTTGAAAAGAATCAAAGATGAAGAGAAAGAGTCCAAATTTGGATACGTCTATGCTGTATCTGGACCTGGTAAGTTTACAATATTTTTATTGTAATTGTTAGTGAATGTAAATAACTTTTGGTACTTCGGTATTATCCGGAGGCCACTTATTTTAGATAGATTTATTTTACCGGGGACCAAAAATAACTACATAATTGGAAAGAGCATACTTTAATAGACTTACTGTCCAAATTTGACATGATTACGATTAGCGGCCTTTGAGTTCTGCCTTCCAGAAGGCAGCGATGTCGCCGAGGATTGAGTTGAATGCGTCGCCGTCGCCGCCGTTAGCTGCCACAGTCATGTACTCCGCCAAGTAGGTATACAGCGCTCTGCGGGGGTTATGTTAGGTTAGGTTATCATAAATATGATTGTAGGACTTTCTTCGTTTCATTATGAATCAAACGATACCAGATAAGTCATACTCTTGACTGCCAAATACCCCAGATACAGGTGGTGACAGGTAATGCGTGTGCTCCGGTCAACGACCTGACCTTGGCCTACTTACTTTGAGGAATTTGGTGTGCGAAAGTATGACTCATCTGGTATCATTCGATTTATAATGAAACAAGGAAAGTTCTACAAACATTTTTTTGATAACCCAACCTAACATAACCGCCAAAGCGCGCTGTATAAGGGTGGCCTCTGGATAATACCAAAGTACTTAACTTTCTTTTACTAACTTGAATATGTAGGCATATTTACTAAATTTTGTGGTTTAGCCTATTTTTGTTATCAGTGTTCTACGACTTCAAAAACCATTCACGTAAGTATTTTGTTTGGGCCTACTTTAATGTTATTTACTAGTGTCTAATGTTGTAGTATATTAGAGTAATGAACAGGATGCAGGATCAAAAGATCAAAAGCATCCAGTCCCTTTCCCACTACTGTTGCTTTTGTTATTTTGTGCAAAAATCCCATCAATTATGAAATAACAATCAGCTGTTTGGATTATTTCAGCAAACTGCCACTGGTATGTTTACGTTAAGTTTTTTAGAATCAGAAAATTTTAACCTATCATGGTTTTTAAGACAATTTTAAAAACCCAGTGAGATTAATTAATTTTGTGACATAAATAAAAATTGAATTGTTTGCATTAAAGTTACAGTGATTTGTAATTGCAAATGAAATAAAATTATTATGCACCATCTAGGATGTATGGGCGACGGAGAAATTAAGAAAATGTGCTGTACTTGAGTTTTGTTCACCCGGAGTCTGTGTCACCTGGAAAAATATACATCAGTTTTATATAGGACAGAGAAATATCTTATATACAGTTTATATTTCTTAGCAATCGTCATCAATAGCCTACAGTCAAGCGTCGATTCATTAATAGTATTTAGTTGGTTCTCTTTTCACATTGTTGCGTGAAATAACAATGTTAGTGAGTCGTTGGCTCAGTCGGTAGCGTCGCGGACTTCGGGCCCAAGGCAGCAATGTCGTGGGTTCGGATCCTGGTCACTGCCACTAAAATTTATCAGTACTGTTCACCTTTGTACTGTACCGGCTCACTCCTTGCTTTGCTGTAAACGTTCCATGCACGGGCGGTTAGTCTATGTGGACGGGCAAATGCAAGGTTAAAAGAGGCCGCCAACCTCTTTAAAAAAAAAGATTATTTTAAAATTTGTCTGAGATTGTGGGAAATTTTTAGGATTTTGTTGTGATTGCCATAGTTGCTAATAGTAATAGATGCAGTTGAAATCGCTTTTCCTAAGTATCGATCTTCGGTTTGGACCTAACCTAACCTACCACTAATGCTCTGCCATCGTTGGACTTTCACCAATCGGCCCATCCCCTGTTAGTACGAATTACCTGTAGGCCTACTAACATTTCAACATCGGTTATCTTTAAATTTGTTTCAACTGGTGCCGAGAATCACCTTAAGTTACCAACTCACCACTATTTACAATTTTTTTTTATGTCCCACCTTTACATCCTAGGACGCTAGGTTCTAGCCCGGAACTGTTTTACACATTACTTCAGGCTAGTCCTAGTATTAGTCGCAGCATTATCACATGGATTAAAGGCATTGGTGATTGGTGGAGTTTGAATCCTGGACCTTGGGCTTCGAAGCCTCGAGCTCTGCCACTATGCCAGCTCGCACTCCACTATTTATAACTTAGTGAGCATGGTATTAAACTTTTGTTACACTTACTAAATTTATTTCTCCTACCATAAAGGATTTGCGTTTTCAGGAAATGTAAAATATTTAAATATCCCAATGGTTACCGGTACTACGTGTGTCGAAAAGGTTTTTTTTAAAATATATACTCTGTCTCTATGTTCTGAATTCATGTTAATACTGTGAAAATATAAACACATTATAGTGAAATATTTTCTGGGCAAAACCATCACTGAATTGCACTTATTTTACGTCATCTGATATTGATTGATATATGGCCCTAAAAAGGTTTACCCTCAGTAGGCCTATGTAAGGCAAATATTAATGAGTTACAATTGTAGTAATAAAGTGAAGACTGTTTAAGACAACCTGATTGTTATACCCTTTAACCGTGTGTTGGTTTCTGCAGTGGTGACGGCAGAGAAAATGTCAGGCTCTGCTATGTACGAGTTGGTGCGAGTCGGATACTTCGAGCTGGTCGGGGAGATCATCCGTCTGGAAGGAGACATGGCCACCATTCAGGTACTGAACAAATCTATAGTATAAGTATAAACTATTGGAAGAGTTTAGGTAAAACTAATTGAATAGCAGGGTGGATGTAATGCTCGCATAACAATCATAAGTGGTTTGATCTTGAGAAAGTCAGCAATCTTTGATAATTGGTAGCTGGACCCAGCTGGCCTTGATTATTAGGCTAAAATAATCCTGGCTAAAGAATTGGCTAAAGTTACTCACTAACAAATCTTTTGTGTTGATGTTGTATAAATCTAATGTCATAAAATCTGTAACTAACCAATTCAGTAACAAGCAATCCATTTGAATCAAGTACCAACAAGGCCTGTTGGCGGCACAGTCTGACGGTTATGACTATGTGTTGTGGGCAACTGAGGAACCCTATCCTTCTATCTAGCAAGGCAAAGGGTGTTGTTTTTAGAATAAAACCGAGGCATTAGGACAGATAAGAAATTCAATCTGCGAGTGCTGTAATTACTTTGACTTTTGTCTAGGTGTACGAGGAAACATCAGGAGTGACGGTAGGTGACCCGGTGCTGCGTACAGGCAAACCCCTCTCAGTAGAGCTTGGCCCGGGCATCATGGGTAGTATCTTTGATGGTATCCAACGGCCGCTGAAGGACATCAACGAGCTGTCACAGAGCATCTACATCCCCAAGGGTGTCAATGTGCCTGCACTCTCACGCACTGCTTCGTGGGAGTTTGCTCCTCTCAACATTAAGGTAAGTCGAGACCAAAAAACTATCATACAATATTGATTACTGTGGTTCTGTTTTGTTAAAGCTACAACACAAATGATTTTCAGAAATGTTTAAAAATTTTCCTTGAACTAAGCACAACTCAAGTGTTAAAAAATCTTAATGTTCCTGATTTGTCTTCAAACTAATCTCAGAAGTCCTATTTTAGGACAAAATATCAGTTTTTTTGTGTGTATATCTATTCATCAGTCCCTGGAGTCTAGTTTTCTCTATTAACCCTTTTAGTGCTACAGCGTCGCTGACAGTGACATGATGAAAAGTGCTAGAGGATTTTGACCAAATAAGCAAGCTTTTAGAAAAAAACTCTTATCTCCCTTATTTATTTATATTTTTTAACAGTTTTTTTTTTGTTTTTTACAAAAATGAATGCACTAAACAATATTGCTTCATCTGTTACATTTTAGGTTCACCAAAAAAATTTATTTTACAAAATAATAAAATCTCATTTTACGAAAAAAAAAAAAAAAAAGTTTGATATGAAATAAGTTCTGTTGGATTTTTTTTTAAATGGTTATATGTTTTATCACTGTAAAAAGAATACTTTTGTGATCATTTTGATAAAAAAATTATGCATTTACACATCATACAATGTTTTTTAGAACATAAAACAAATGTCATGACATTTTACGGAAAACCCGAAGCACCATCAAAATGTTTTATAACTACCCCATTTGTCAATATAGTTGAATAATGTGACTTTATTTATCACATAGGCTAACTAAATGTGGTAAAGGATTTTAGTAATTTTGTTAGTGATATAGGTGTATTGCCATGAAAAGATCTATGATGAAATGATAAATTTGATTTACCGACATTTTATTTTCTAAGTTTTACATGAAATAAAACTAGTTAGATAATGTACCAATATTTTTATTTTGCTCTTATTACAAAAAGCATTATTTCATGAATATTTTGGTGAAAAAATTGTCACCCTATGTGTCTAAACTTTTTTTTATAAATAAAACACACAAAGTGGTAATTGGCGCATATTTACATAATTACATATTGGTACAAATACAGATATAATTCATTGCTAAGGGGGGTATTGTGATTGACAACTTAGCAAAGACAGGCTAATAAACTAAAAAAAACAACTAAATATTAGAAGAAAAAATCTTACCATTTTGAGTAGGCCAGGTCATTTCAGTTTCCATGGTAACGGACGGTCAAATTATCCATGTCTAAAAGTTGTCTTATCCTATGCAACTAAAAATGTATTTACATATTTACAAGTCTTCACTTAGTTCATTAGTCTTTTCAACACCTATGGTGCTGGATGCACTCAGGATGTAGTCCTTTGTCACAGCGCACACACACAAATGCTGATCGGTGTTTGCTATTCTCAGTGCTGCATACCTTGCAGATCCGCAATTTTCTTCCTGGTAACTTTTTCACTCCAAAAAGGTTAGCAGGTCCACCTTGAGGTTGTGGTTGAGCAGGTAGGGTTTGTTGTTTGGTAAGGATCCATTCCTTACCAAGGTCGTGTACCAATGACTGCATGAATTTGATACGGGTCATAGGCTTTACGTTGTTCTGTTTGACATTTTCCTTGTATAATATATATGCGTTCAAAATCATGCGCGAGAATAGACTAAAAACTACTTTCTTCCAAACTTTAACAGTCCTACGCTCATCCATATATGCATACACCATCATATCAGAGATATCTATTCCCCCCATATATTTATTGTATTCCAAAATGACATCTGGCTTGTTGACAACTTCTTCCCCTACCTGCCTCCTAACTCTACGCCTGACTTCACTGGTTGTTGCCTGAGATGCAGTGGTAATCAACAATACCTGTTTTTTTTGAGTTTTTTTATCTCTAAACCCACACAAAAGAAGAAACCCTTTTTTGAAAAATCTCGTAACACCGACACCAAATTTTGATTTTACTGCGTCAGGTAGGCCCTTACGATTGGATCGAATGGTTGCGGTGTAGTATGTTCCAAGCTCATACAATCGAGATGCAAGGGGGATGGAAGCAAAAAAGTTATCTGTAAAGACATGAAACCCTTTATTTAGGTAATTACCTAAGGTGAGAAGTTTTTTTACTACAACAAATCCTTGGCCGAATTCCTTTTGCTCCTGTTTTTCTTCAGATGGGACACGTGCACCTTTATATACAAAAAAACCCAACACATAATTTGTTACGGAGTCACACAACATCCACACCTTCACTCCCCATCTGTGATGTTGTTTTTTAGGTAAGTACTGTTGTAATACTGTATGTGACTTAGTTCCGATGAGAGACTCGTCAACCGAAAGCTGCTCATGTGGAGTATAATAGTGGCGAAATAAGACGTTTGCGTGGTCTACAAGAGGCTGGAACTTTGCACATGGATCAGGTCTTCTTCGGGCAATGACATCATTGTTCACCAGATGGAAAAACCGTAACAACAGTTGAAACCTATCTCTTGTAAACATTTGTGGAAACCACGGTGTAGCCATTCCGGGGATAGTGGACCAGTAGGAGTATATTGTTGGCTTTCTAATTATGCCCATATTGAAAATGCAAGCAATAAAACCTTTGATCTCTGGAACGCAAGTCGGTAACCACTTCTTGGTTCTAGAGTTATCACTGAACTCAGAACGCTCCAAACATTGTGATGCATATCTATTTGTTTCTCTAACTATGCTGTTTAGAAGCAAAGTTGTGAAAAACAAATTGAAATATGAAACTGGGGGGGAATCTGGTGGTGGCATATGCTTTGGTCCTGGAAGTTCATGGTATGTTACTGGACGAAGTGGGAAATCAACATCAGGTCCAATTTCTTCCCAAATGTCTCCATCCGGTGCATTACCTGGAATTGGGTTTTCATGTGCAATAGGGTCTAGCTGTATGGGCGGGTTCACTATTTGGTTAGGTTCATCTAGGCCTACCATGGCAATAGGGTCTGGCTGTATGGGCGGGTTCACAATTAGGTTAGGTTCATCTAGGCCTACCATGGCAATAGGGTCTGGCTGTATGGGCGGGTTCACAATTAGGTTAGGTTCATCTAGGCCTACCATGGCAATAGGGTCTGGATATGCGGTCGGGTTCAATATTTCGTCAGGTTCATCGACCATCTCCTCCTCAAAAGTGGATTGGACATTCCTAATCGGACTTATAGGAGGAGAATGGTGAGGATTTCGTCTACGTTTGGAAATGATTTGCTCTAACCTGGATGGTTTTCTCTTTTTGGGCGTCGACGACACAAATTCTTGTGTAGGCCCACTGTCGATCGATTCGTCTGCACTGTCGTCCTCAGAAGATGGTATGTAATCCATGTCTTCGTCAGTATCGTCAGCTTCACTTGGCGAATCCGATTCATCATCTGTCGTAGGTACGTCGTCATCCTCCTCTTCAAAATCGGAAATATTCTGTGTCAATTGGTCACTAAAAGACTGGTCAATTGTTAGTGTCCCAGTGTCATTTGAAGAGATATCACTGATCAAGGCACGAAGCCTTTCCTCGTCCCCGGCAAAGTTATCACGATCCATTGTTTCGAAAAAGTTCACCAATGATCCACATTACAACAACTCGTTTTATAAATAGGCCTAACTCGCAAAACTACACAATATCTATACGAATCTAAAAAAAGAGCACAAACTAACTAGAAAACAAAACTTTATACACAAAAAAGTAAATAACTTTGTTTCAAAACAAACAGCGCAAAACGATATGTTATCCGTCGTCTGTCAAAGCGTCACTGCGCACAAAGAAACAAAGAATTGAAATGTAAACAGCTGACCGCTAGCGACAGTAAAAGAGCGAAATGAACCGGCGATCGATAATTTGAAGCTTTTGGAACATACTGACGCATTAACCAGCCAATGCATCCATGGCAACAATGCGTACTATACGAAATACGAATAGTCGCTGTGAGCGACGCTCGCACTTTAGTGTAAAAATACATCGTCGCTGGCAGCGACGCTGTAGCACTAAAAGGGTTAACCAAGCTAAACTCAACCCCTTTTCAAAAAGTCTCTATTAGGTATTCTTAAATTATTCTTAGGAGTGTTATTCTTATCCTGCATCATAAGAAAACATTGCAGCTGTCTGACCTGTTTAGAATAGTATAATGCACTTTCAATTTTAATGCCACCAACATCAATTTTTTACACAAATAGTTAATCTTTGTTTTGCAACAATTTTTTCTTACATCCAACGATCTTATTCCACCATAAAATTATAGTCTCTATGTTAAGATGGATAAACTCATATGTGGAGTTGTTCAGTTTTTTATAATTTTTAAATTTCAGGTTGGAAGTCACATCACCGGAGGAGATATTTACGGTATCGTCCATGAGAACACTCTGGTTAAACACAAGATGCTGTTGCCTCCGCGTGCCAAGGGTACAGTGACGTACATCGCGCCCCCGGGCAACTACAAGGTGGACGACGTCATGCTGGAGACAGAGTTTGACGGGGAGAAGTCCAAGTTTACCATGTTGCAAGTGTGGCCTGTGCGTCAACCCCGACCAGTCACTGAGAAGCTGCCAGCTAATCATCCCCTGCTGACAGGACAACGAGTCCTCGACTCGCTGTTCCCGTTAGTAAACCATGTCAATCATAGATTATTTTTTATCCAGAAATTTAAAACCGATTACTGCGGGAAGAAATTTTTGCATCACATGTGCAAACTTTGAAGTCTTGAGGGTGCGTCTAAACATAAAATAGGCAAAGGGGAAGAGAATAAGAACTTTAATTTCTCATCAGATATGTAGGCCTATGCTTAAAACAACATAAACTACTAAAACAGGTGAGGTGGTACAGACAGAATGGAAGTAACCAAATTTGAAATTCAAGATTGTGTTCTTGATTCTATCTGATTGAATCTGTTTGATTAATTAAATGGCTTTGCTTGTTCATTTTCATAACTTAGATTTCAATGTTAAAAACAATTCTATCGTTTCCTGAATGAGAATATTGTTATTTGCTTGAACAAGTTAAGATTTTTGTGCTGTAAACACTGACTGGGTGATATTATAGATGTGTATTACGTGGCTAGGCACTAGTATAGAATTGACGATACCCAATGTATATTTTTGATTTGATTGTTTTTCTAACTTGAGCAGTTATTTTTAAGAATGTTTTCCTACATGGGTGAGGATGAAAAAAACTGTTGTAATGAAACAGAGTATTTCTTAAATTGGCCCAAAACTTGCTGTCCTAAGTGCTGGTAAAACATACCATCAATGTCTGACGACAAAATCATTAACAATATGGTAGACCGTACCGACAAGGGTTCTCTCTACTGCATAGAGCCTTTTGCTAGGCTTACTAAAGAGCTTTAATAGACCAACTATTACTTGTATAGACCAACTATTACTTGTATAGACCAACTAATATATACATGTTTGGTGCAGATGCGTGCAAGGAGGTACTACTGCCATCCCCGGTGCTTTTGGTTGTGGCAAAACTGTCATTTCGCAGGCTCTGTCTAAGTATTCCAACTCTGATGTCATCGTCTACGTCGGGTGTGGAGAGCGAGGAAATGAAATGTCTGAGGTGAGCAATCATTATTCATTAAAGTTGAGGTGCATTCTAGTTGATTAAAAATTTTGCAAAATGATATAAACATCTGACATACTTGTGGGTTAAAAAAATGTAATATAACAGTTACTTATTGCTCTAATTTTTTAAACTCTTTACTAAGAGGTTGGCAGTTTTCTCTAACCTTTTTGCCCTTCCACATGGGCCTTGGGAGTGAACGTGGAAAGCATTCTCATAGGCCTAGCAATGAGCTGGTACAGTATAAGAGTGAACTGTACTGATAAGACAAAGGCCACTCAAAACCATAAGAAAATATTACAACAAAGTGGTGGACAAAGGTACCAGGACTCTAAACCACCACATCATTGCCATTGATTTGTGATTGTAGCCTGTCGAGCTATCAACTGAGCCATCACTAAGCTATGCAAAACAAAATTGTTCATTTTAGTAAAGATTTGAATAAACAAGGTTGAAATCAATAACACAGAACACATTCGTAGGTATTGCAAGACTTCCCCGAACTGTCAGTGGAGATTGACGGTGTTACGGAGAGTATCATGAAGAGAACTGCATTGGTCGCTAACACTTCCAACATGCCTGTAGCTGCCCGAGAAGCTTCCATTTACACAGGTGTGGAAAACTTAAAATACTCTCATGATTGTGTTTCAATATATCCATAGCTTTTTTACTGACTATAAGGTATAAATAGCTTCAGACCTACAAGAAAACAAAATCTATCAGTCTAAAACATCAATCTTACTAGTTAAGTATCAAGTAACAAACATTCTGACTTGTGTTATTTTTTGTATGATTTTGGAGTCACTTGTTTTGGCTATGTTTACAGTAGTAAAACATGTCTCACATTGCTTACACCAAAACCTCTCATCATTTGCAATGTCAAATAAAAAAATTACCATACAATTAAAGCAATATTTACATGCAAAGAATTTAATTAAATAAGAACGCCTTCAAAAAGGAAATGCAACAACAACACGCTCGTGTACTGCGGGTATTGCATTGCCTTCTGCAGGTGTTTTTAGTAAATGGCAAATGGATACTGACTCCTTCATGAATCAAATCGTTTTTGACCACCACTGAATCAAATCGCAATTTGATGCATTGAATTGAATCAAATCGTAATTTCGATGCATCACACACCCCTACTCACCAGATATGTATACAGTACCTTACTGTATATTAGTACTGTTTCAGTGTCAGGCTTAGAATGTTGGACTATTGACACTACTACAATCTTATTTTTGATCTTTATAATTTATCCTAGTTAAATCTCCACTTGTCAACAATTTTAAAAGAAGGAAAGGAAGACAGGTTTAAATCTCTTTTTCCTTGTTGTTAGGAATCACTCTTTCTGAGTACTTCCGTGACATGGGCTACAATGTGTCCATGATGGCTGATTCCACATCTCGTTGGGCAGAGGCCTTGAGAGAAATCTCAGGTCGTTTGGCTGAAATGCCTGCCGACAGGTGAGTATCTAAATACAGTCTAACTAATGTAACATAGGCTATTTTACAATCCCAATTAAAAAAAAGTTTTGTTGAACAGTCACAATGGCTCTTTTCCTCAGGAACCCATATTCTGCACTCTGCCACTAGACCAGATAGCCCCCCCCCCTCAATTAATTTGGTGGGATCATTACTTATTTAGTAAATTGTTGATATGTGAAGGTGTGTCTATTGGCCGACAGTTTATTTACTTGAAAATAGTTTCAAGGCAATTTTTGCAATGTGCAAACTACTTAGATGCAATGGCTTTGTCCCTGACTGACAAAATGAAAATGATATAAAATCTTATAAAAAGAAATCAAAATCACCTTATGTATTGTCCTAGTATAATGAAAAAAATCACAAAAACTAAAAGAACTGTTGACAGACATAAGGATCAACTGTTTGGCACGGAAGTAAAGGCTCACATTAGTATAATTACAAACTATTTCAAGTATAATTTTGACATCTCAATCTCTTAATATTGATTAATAAATAATAAAGGGGTTAAGTTCATAAAAAGTGTTTTAAAAACGTTGCTCTAATAACTATAATTGTAATTTACTATATTTTACAAAGTTAATCTTCAATATACAGGGCTATTCAAAATATGGAAACAGTATCAGGACTTTGTATCTTGAAAAGTATAAATCGGAAATAAATATGTTTTACACCATTAGAAAGAGAAAACTTCCAAGTTTTATTTACACTGATTATAGATGCTCAATTTGTCCCCCCTGTGCTGCACGTAAAACAAGTGATAGCCGAATTAGTCCCACACACGAGACAGTATCTCTTGTGTCTCTAATTACTTGAAATTCTTAAGCCAATGAGTTATGCTGTTTCTAGTCGGTGGTTTAATACTGTACCGAATTCAATGAGAAAAGCCTGCTGCACTGTAATAGGAGACTCAGTTTTTGCAAACTCTTGTCACACAGAAAATCTTACGTTCCATGTTAGCTATCTTACTATCAACTTCTGGTAAAACAAAACGGCTACCCATTGTTGCGATAACCGTTTCGGCTGTTACCAAAACTATGGTCAAAAAATAAAAAAAAACTTTGAATTTCCTCTTTTTAATGGTGTTAAGTTAATGTCTGTCTGATTATACTTTTTGGGGTACAAAGTCATGAGGTTGGGCCCATATTTTTGTATAGCCATGTATATTTAAATATACAGTACTAAATTTTGGCAGCACATTATAAAATAAAATAATAATTATTTTAGTTATTCCAATAGGTTGATGAATAGTATACGGAAGCGTTGTATTTTGGATAATGAAATATACATCTCATCTACATGAACCAGCTGTTGCCAATTTTTTTCAAAATGAACATGATCGAAATAGTCACTCAAATAGTGTGCTTCAGTCTAAAATTCTATCCTCTCCCTTAATTTTAGTTACTGAGATAGTTAATGAGACCAAAAAGAGACAAAAAAAAGACATGATGAGATAAAATATGCCAGCCAAACTAATAGGGCTATTTGTTGTAAGCATACAAAATATCGTTCTATCCAAATATGTGCTGTACCAAGTAATAATAATAATAATAAATCAGTTTGACTCGGTTAATTTATTTGAAAGAAATCAGTAATTTACATCAGCACACCTTGTTGGTGTCTGAATTCAACATGACCATTTTGATGGAATTAGCGACAACTTTAACCCGAGGATGTAATGTCGCTAGTACTAACCATGCCATTGTACAGTGGCTACCCTGCTTACTTGGGTGCTCGACTGGCCTCCTTCTACGAGAGAGCTGGCAGAGTCAAGTGTCTGGGTAACCCGGACCGTGAAGGTTCCGTCAGTATCGTAGGAGCCGTGTCTCCGCCTGGTGGTGACTTCTCAGACCCTGTCACCTCCGCCACTCTGGGTATTGTCCAGGTCTTCTGGGGTCTCGACAAGAAACTGGCTCAGAGAAAACACTTTCCCTCCATTAACTGGCTCATTTCTTACAGGTATATAAGTTATATCAGTTTTATATTGTTAGAATATCTTAGTCCCAGCCAACTATCAGACCAAGCAATCAGAGTAGCCCATGCCACAATTAATACTGTTGTGTAACATGATCATACTAAACACTGACTTGTTTCAGCTTGTTACATTAAATAAAAACATTCCTTATAGCCGCTTTAAGATTTTATGTTGGATCGGTTAAATGTAAAATCTGTTTCATCTATAGTTATGATAAATTTGTACTTAGTTGCAATGCAAATCAATTAACATTGCATTTAAAAAAGAACCGTAGTAATTTAAATCTCCTTTTGTTTGATCCATAACAAAAATATTTAACCATTTTTGATTAAGTGTACAATGAAATTTAACAAACTTCCAGTCTCTGATTGAATAAAAATGTTCAGGTAGGTATTGGGAAAACCTTGATAAGCAATTATGCTTGGTTTGGATATCAGTGATTGTTTGCTCACCTCTCTAGATAGCACAGTACAATTTACAGTTTCCAACCATTCACGATGCCTGATAGCAAGCAATACTTTTTACAGTTGTGCGTATTATTCATTTTTTCCTGTTTTATATGCATGGGCATAAATTATTTTGTGCAATTGGCCTACATGTGGAGTAAACTACTGCCTGATTAGGACCAGAGGTTTTTTTTATTCTTTTCAATTAGATTTAATACAACTCCAGTCAGTTTTCCGTAAGTCTATGATTTTATAAATATTAAGTTTATCCTGTGTGTTAAAATTATTAAGTGTATTGTTTAACAATTTTTGTAGTCCACTCCAACTGTAAAACGTCAAAAACTATTATGTAAAGAATATCTGAAATTTAAAGTCATTGCCAAAACATAAGAAATAATAATTAACAACTGTTGATCTGAACAGTTCATGTGGTAATTTGTACCTGGATGTGTTATGATGATCGTGTAATCAGCAGCAAGTTTATGTGAAGTTTAGCCAAGGGTTTCGTCAAAGATTATACAATAAAACGTAACGACACAAGACTAGGTACAAAAAAAAAATGACATAGATAGCACAATCGCCCTGTTTTTACAAATAGTCTGTCGCGTCACTGCACAGTTTAGAGTCAGAATGGTAGTCAACACAGTCAACATTAGTAATGGTAGCCTACGTCTGCAACTAACTACAACTAAAAGTTCCTGAATGTCAGTTTGATACTTTCTAAGAAATCCTAGATGTTTGGTAAACCTGGACCTCTTGTCTTGGTTTTGCTGAACGAAAAAGAGCCTCAAACAACTTACAGTTATTTAGGGACAATTTACAGTTATTTAGATTGTATATTTTGATTTGTTTCACAAATTTGTAATGGAACTTTTTCAGTAAATACATGAGGGCCCTGGATGACTTTTATGACAAGAGCTTTCCCGAATTTGTGCCCCTGCGAACAAAAGTAAAGGAAATCTTGCAGGAGGAAGAAGACCTTTCAGAAATTGTACAACTTGTGGGTAAAGCCTCTTTGGCCGAGTCTGACAAAATAACTTTGGAAGTAGCACGTCTCCTCAAGGAAGATTTCCTCCAACAAAACAGGTAATTTCAACATTTCAGTAATCTTACGAGTATTAAATCTACATTCTACACATGTGTTGAAAACCAATTTAATTTTTGAACTGTCGTACATTTTTTAAAACAATTTTGTACACTTACGTACTAATGATTATTAAACATCTGTGGAAACTTAGAACAGAAAATGGTTTTCTAAAAGAAAATGACATTCACTATATATATACCAGCCAACAACTTAAACAAATAGGCTGTTAGTTAACATGTTCTAACTCTTTCAGTCAAGTTCAAACGACACCAAAATAGTTATCTGACAAAAGTAATAGCTAGAAAATTTGGGTTTGATCGATCTTACAGTGTTTGTTTCTCGGTGCGACCAGCTGAAAGTTTTCCATTTTTCAGCTACTCGCCCTACGATCGGTTCTGCCCCTTCTACAAGACAGTCGGCATGCTTCGCAACATGATCGCCTTCTTCGACATGTCGAGACATGCAGTCGAGTCAACAGCTCAAAGTGAAAACAAGATCACTTGGGCTGTGATCAAGGACAGCATGGGCAGCATCCTGTACCAATTGTCATCCATGAAGTTCAAGGTTAGTCTCTCGTTCTGGTCCGGTTATCAAACATATTTTTTAATCCTACTTATTTAACTCCAATTTATTCTGAAGTGAGTTGATCATTTACTTTAAAACCAGCGCTACACTTGCAAAGCCATGAATTGTTTGATTAAGAAGTCATTTGGATTTTTAAGTATATGTAGTTTATTTGTATGCTTAAGAATGGTTACACATTCAAATAAACTATACTTATAAACCCAACTGTCTTATAGAAGTCATGACTTCAACATACCAACTGGCTGGGTAGCTGAGTCTTAATAGTGCTTGCCTGAAAATCAGAGGTTGCTGGATCCATTTTGACAAAAGTCAGTTTTTGATGATTTGCTCATATTTGGATTAAACAAATAAAATACGCACCTAGGTGACGTTCCCATCTCAATTTGATAATAATATAGATATTGTTGATATTTGATTCAATAGAATAGACTTCCTTATGTTAAAAAGCAATTGCAAAGCTTTGGAAAGACTAGATAATGTAAATCAATGGTTTTTCTTAACCTATTAAAAAATTGGACACCAAGACAAAACAAAATTTTAAAATAAAATCGTATGATATTTTTTATTGCAACTTTAAGCTGTGTATGATAAGGTTCAACAAAATCTTGTTGATAAATTATATATTAATATTTGCAAAAAATGAAGCAATCAATTTTGTGCAAACATACTTAGTTTTCATGCAAGTGAATCTTGTGTTCTTCTTAAAGATACTTTTGTCCAAGAAAATTATTTTGTACATAATTTGACTTAAATATAGTAGTTAAAAAGTCAAGTGGCAAACTGGCTATAAATGTTCTTAACATCCTCAGAAAAAAGACTGTAAACTAGATAACATTAATTTATATTTTTTTTACTTCAAAAACAGTAAACAGTAGTACAGCAAATTTCATTGTTACGCAATTTTATGGTTATACCTTAGAAAAAAAAAAATTATTAATACACACCTTATTTCTAATTGCCCCATAATGGAGAAATTGTCGAAAATATATCTGTATCTAGTGTTTCTAGTAGTATTGTATTTGTATGTTAAAGTACTTAGTAAAATGTGATTGTGGATTAGCTTTAAAATGAGGTTTGAATGATCAATGACTGTATATTGGCAAATGTATAGGACCCAGTGAAGGACGGAGAGGCCAAGATTAAGGCAGACTTTGAACAGCTGTATGAGGACATCCAGCAAGCCTTCAGGAACCTAGAGGACTAAGTCCAACCACCTCCAACAAGGAGTAGAGGCCGGTGAGGGAGTAGAGGCCCACAAGATATAGCATTCCACTGTCGTCATCTGATCAAGCTGTCCGACCGATATTATTGTTTAAAAGGTTTATTTTAGTTTTACGCATTTAAAATAATATACTCTGTATAAATTTTACAAGCTTTTTCTCCTTTTACAGTATTATTTGAGGTTTCTCAAAGCGTAATAAAGTTTGTAGTTTGGGCTGTTAGTATATGCTTCTTATTTTTAATTTACATTTTGTCTCGTTTTATTTGCTTTTATCGTTTTATGTACATTTTTCTTCTCGGGTTGCTTTGTATTAACGCACATAATGTATGTTTCACTGACGGTACATTCCCCTCTCTGTATGTGTGCGTCCCTTTCCTACTCGATTCAAGCAATAAGGTTCTATCCGATCGGTCTGGGTTATTGTAGCTTGCCTAGGTACTTATGATATTTTGTTGAAGCTGTATCGGTTTTATTGTTGTTGCGCCATATATTGTAAGATAATATCGATGTTTTTACTCGTATATTGTGGTTTCGGTAACGACAAATGTATATGTTTTAAATTCTGTACAGCTTTTAAAGTGTTCAAAATACAATAATTAGAAATCATTAGATGACTTTAATATATTTATGTGTAAAAACTGTCGTAGCATGCGTGTTTGTGTAAACCCGGGGATTGTTTGAGGTTTTGCGATCCGGGATTGTTGGGGGTCGACTCAAACACTAAAAGATTATATTTATTTTCAAAAACTATTTTAAAATTGTTAAGTTTGTTTATAATTACATGATTATATTATGATGTATAAAACATTCCTCACTAGAAATGTTTATCAAGCTGTTATCTTATGTTAGTTCTACTACAGTGTTTATGTAGTTAAGAAACCCATGTAAATGAACATTAGGAAATAAAAAAGTAGCAGAAAAGTGTCTAGTTTATTGCCAATATACCACAACAAACACTTATCATTACAATACTCTTTAATTTCTTGACATCCATCTACATCTTCTGAGTACTGAGTAAGCCTCATTTACCCTACTTTTTGGTAACATGCACATTCAGCCCCTTGGCAGTAACTTTTTCCATACAAACAAACACCTAACATTGCCAAAAGGTAAAATTAATCATTTGATGAGCTTTTGACAACAAAGCATCAATGTTAACATGGTTTTTTAGTATTATTTAAAACAAAATGTTTAAAGTAAACTAACCATATTCTAATGGATAGGGAGGTTCTGAAAGGTAATTATAAGGTCCAAGCTTTGCCTTACAAGAGTAGCCTTTAATGAAGCTACCTTTAGCCCAGCCTTCTCTGATGAATCACTTCTAATGAGGTCATAAGAGCAAGAGACATGTTTAAATTGGATTATGATGTTGAAATATGAACTATTAGTAAAGAATGTAAATAGTTGTTTAGTTAAATTAAATATATCAGCTAATAAAAAAAAGATCATGTAAAATAAATAGATTAAATAGTTATTTTCTTAACTAGTGGGTGAAGTGGCACTTTGCTGCTCACAAGAATGTTTATGGACAAGCCATAGGCGAGTGTGGAAAGTTTCTCGAGTGCAGCAAAGGCAATTTGCACTTGTGTTACGGTACACATTATATTTTTCGTACAGTTATTAGTTATTGTAAAGCATAGAAATAATTAGTCTTTCAAAGACTAAACAACACGTTTTAGGTTACGTTAAATCGAGCGTTGAACAAAATGGGAAACACTGCAACAGCTGATCGTAGTAATAGTATCTTAAAGTTGCCAACCTATTTCCAAAAGTACACAGATTACGTGCATAATAAAAGCACGCTGTTTTGTATTGTTTGGTTGGAATACTGGTGTGCGGAAAAAAAAGGGTGCGGCAAAAGTAAGTAAATGCAGTAGTTAGCAACTTTCTGTACTATAATCAGTGCAAGGAAGTCCGCTTTGTAAGGTGACTGTAGGGAATAGTTATTTGTGTAACTAGTGGTGAAAGTGGCATTTTGCTGCACACGAGAGCAATGTTTACGCATGAGCCGCAGGCGAGTGCGGAATGATCTCGAGTGCAGCAAAGGCCTTTTTCACTCGTGTTACATATTATATTTTTCCTACAGTCACTATAAAGCATATGAATAATTAGTCTTTCAAACACTATACAACACGTTTTTAGGTTCAGCTGGCAACACAAATGGTGCCCTAGAGAAAGTAGTACCCGCGGTCCGTATCACTCCGCTATTTTTCCTCGGCAAGAAATGTACTCCGTGTTTTGAGAATATAGTTCCGTATGTTTTTGTAATTAGAAGTGGATTCCGCACATAAAAAAAATGCTTTAATTAAAGGTATTTTCTTGTTTATTAAGATCGTAGGAATGTTTTAAAAACGTTTAAAAGAAAAGTCCAGAAAGTTCAGAAATACCAAAACTATAAACACGAAATGACAGGTTAAATCGTAGTTATAATAGTATCAGCTGCTCATAGTATTATTATCTTTAAGTGTTGCCAACCTATTTCCAAGCGTACACGGATTACGTGCATAATAGAACCACGCTGTTTTGTGTTGTTTCGTTGGAATCCTGATGTGCGGCAAAGTATAAACCATACGACAAAGTATAAACCGTACGGCAAAGTATAAATATGCAGCAATTAACAGCTTTCTGTACTATAAACAGTACAAGGAAGCCAACTTTGTCGGGTGACTGTAGGAAAATAGAATTTAAATAGAAAAAAATGTTTTTAAATATCTACAACCACCCATTATTTTTTTGAAAATATATTTATATCTCTGCATTGTGTTAATTTGTGAAAAAATAGCGAGATGTTTTCTGAAACACTCAATATACAGGCAAATTGTCACTTAAAACACTCATAAGTTCTGAAAAGTTGGACCTTTTAAGAGTAAGATCTAATACAGTTATACTCATATGGCCCAAAGGCCTTAATCTCCGTATTAGTTCTTTTGACAGCCAATTTCCAATTTTGTTCATGAATGAGTTTTATTCATATGTTGGATGGGCGCACAACCCCACTGATTCAAAATTCAAGTTCTTACAATGGATTGTTTATTTACATACTACTAATTAATCAAATCAAATCAAATCGTTTATTAAGCCAGAATTAACAAAATATTGTACCAATTGTATTGGCTACGTAGGATTATGTACCTTATGGACTCCGAAACCGCTCAACAGATTGTAATGAAAATTTCAGGCATTATTAAGCATTATTCAAGGATGGTTTGTGTGAAGTTTGGTGCAGATCCGTCAAAAGGGCTCCACCCCAGAGGGTTTTAAGGGGTCCAATGTCAGACTTTTGGAACCGCAATGTTTATACAAATAATATAATTTAAAAGCAGATGTTTACTTTTACCTACTGTAGGTTTGAATAATCACAACATTCTGTATTAGTCATGATTTGTAATAGTGCCACAATGTTTCCAGTTCCACAGAATGCAGCACATAAAACTATTTTACTAAGTCCAAATATATTAAACCCCAATCTGTGCACACCTGTGCACTCAACAACGTTTAAATTCTCACCTATACTGAATTAAATACCTATGTAAACTTTAACGTAAAAACCTTTATCAAAGTAAAACTTATGTATTTATGCACCTAATATAATATATATAAAAATATAGGTTGTAAAGAACAAATTACAATTTAAAATAATAGTTGTTAGCACAGCAAAGCGTGCCGGTTAACTGCTAGTTAATATATAGGTGTAACAGACTTTTAAAATTAAGCCAATATGGCCAGATAGTTGAAATAATTTCTGTTTCTATTGCATTTACTCTACTATCTGACACAGAAAGAATTACTTTCTAAAAAATACAAATTATACTCTAAATCATTAGGTTGGAATAACACAAATACTGCAAATCTGATATTGCAGTACTTTATCTGATTACAAGCACATAATCCTACTATACCACATAATAGCACTTAATCCTACTAAATACCCTCATTGGATATTGGACTATAATTAATTAATCCTGTGATAAAGGAGAACAATTGACCGTTGGATAGAGGAGCTCCAATGTCATTGAGTGTGTTAATCTCCACATTAACACCTAAATTGTAATGTTTACTTAACTGTGCATGTATTTATTTTTAAATATTTTAAAGTTGTATTGTTAGAGTGCATTATTATTGTGGTGAATAGTGGTAAAAGGGTATAGTGTGATGATAAATGGCGTTCGTACCACGGACCGAAATGGTTTTGCAGCTCGAGATAGTTTTTAAGTTCGAGACGAAGTTGAGACAACTAACTGGCATCCCCCATGTCAAGGAATTCCAGCTTTAATAGTAACCCCACAACAAATTTCTCAAAACTGCACTAGAGGGTTATTCGTTGGCACAGAAGTACGATGTGAACTGACGCGACGTGATGAAGGAAAAATCAAACTTACACTGTAACGGATATTCCTCCCTCTGAAGTTAGAACGTGTCTTCCCAACAAACATATATATATTTTTTTTAAATAAAATCGTAGATTAATCTGCATTACACTGATGAAATCGCGGAAGTGTTTACAAAAGATCCACCAACCTAATTTTATATGAAAAACCTAATTTCCAAATTAGTTTTAGGTAGGAATATCCTTTTTTGGTCCCCTGAACCCAATCAAGTGGTTTTCTAAGTAACATTGTGTGAGTGTAAGGATGTGTACAGAGCTACAAACTACTCATGTGATGAAATTTGATTAGATTTTGTAAGTACTGACACTGTATGTGCTAACCTACGGTATCTCCAGGGCTTTTTAAAATTTATATTTTTAATGTGAATTTTCCTATAATACCTGTAAAATAATGAAACATTAGATTTTCACAAGAACAGCTCAGACTTTTTAAAAGGTATTTTATTGCTCTTTTAACTCTAAAGAAGATGGTACAACCCCAATTGCTATAAAAATGAGGGTTCCCAAAAGAAACTTTTGTGCCCATAAAATACCATAGTTCCACCGTTTACCCAAAATAAGGGTTGTTGACAAGCCAATGAGAGAAAGTACGGTATGTATCAGATTGCTGACCGTTTTATTTTGTTTTGTGACGATTCTTTTTAACCTCATAGAAGAAGAGGATCTTCCCTAACTATACTTTGGTCTTGGTACGAATCTTGTATATGATCCTTTGGGTTTGAAACATTGGTTGAGAAAAGAGAATGATTGAAAAGTAACAGGTTTCTTATTTGTATAATCATGATCACGGCTTTAAAAGATAATTACAGATAACTAAAAGATCAATTGCTTGAATTAATTACTTTATCTTACAAAGTGTATGAATAAGAAATGAGTATTATTTAATACGGTAAATAAGTACAATAAAAAAAACTAAGCAATTTACACACACCAGAAAATAGAAAATAAACTAATAAGTCTATGTTAAAAATGAAAATAAAAAACTGAAGGAGGCCACTTTTTTATCTGCATCTAGAACGCTTTAAAATACTTGCTAGTTATGAGTTATGGTACAAGTGAAGTTGGAGAACTGCCCGGGGAAATGTCACGTATGGTAATGCTTACTGAAGCTTAACTCAATTTTGTTCAATTCTGCCAACACTTTATTACATTTACATATTGCATTGAACTATACATGGAAAAAACCACATATGCATATAAATTTAGTTTTTAATTTATGTAGCAATCGGTAAATAACGGCTTCTTAAGAAGACCTAGGTGTTTGAATTTGGTCCAAAAAGTTATGTTTGTGAGGACACACCTTTGAGTTATATATAATTTTTACATACTGCGTAGTAACATACAGGGTGGCTGAAAAGTAACTTGCACCCCCCTTAACTTTTCAACCATTTGAGATATTTGAAATCTGTTTGTGGCAACCTTCTTAGCTATAAAAGGCTACAATAATTATGGGTAGTGGGGGTAGGGGGTAACTCAAAATTTTCAAATAACAAGTATAGTCGAGTTTGGTAGGCCTATCATTTTACAGGTCTTG